ATGGATGGTTACAAAACCTGAACGTTAAACGAAAACGATCGACCTGGCCTTAGCTGGCGTATCGCATCATGTGCGGTTTGAAGAACGTGTAAGAAATTGCATGCTGTGTGTAGAAACATTTTCTGTCCATACAGTCATGTACACCATATACATGGAACTTGGTCATATACCGTACACTATTTATCGTGGTAGCCGGCAGGCCTACTGGGAGAATCATTTTTAACTGCTTGAAGTGGCGCTAAACGACTCTTGGGCAGCAAAGGCATGAACGCTGCAATATTTATTTTCAAATCGGAAGCTCCACGAAACCTTGCATTTCCACACTCGGGCAATACAGTACGATCTGAGCCGACATACGCGATGCGCATTCATTATACACATCAGAAAACAGATGATTGGTTGATTGTCGGATTATTAGTATTTGGTATTCCTTCGCCTTAATTCTGTTTTCGACGATATCTCTCCCAGCCAGCAATGGTTATCTCAGAGCTGTCGGCGGCCCCGTAGTTTCGCAACATGAGTTGCGAGGAGAGGCTGAGCAGTGAAAATGCCTCAATCTTCACCCCAAAATACGCCAACAAACGGGGTTCTCCTGGGATCTGACACGCTTTTTTCTCAAAGTTAGGTGAGCTGGAGCCCAAATTACAGGGCTGGCGATCTCCAACTGAATGGGGAAAATCATACAATACAGTACGATCAAACTACACCCATGACTGTGGATTACGTAGACAGGAAATAAATGGGCTGCGGTGGTCGTGTGACGCATCCCCCGGCAAACCTCACCCTGCACAGAGCCCCTCCTCTGGGGTTGTGATGACGCCCGGCCGTTCTGCCGGAGCGACCGTAGGACTGGCTAATGGCTGACGGCTACAACATTGTCAGTGAGGCAAGTCGCTGCGAGAGCTTTGGATACAGCAGTAAATATAAACAAAAACATTGCTAGTGTTTTACAGGACAGCAGGGTTTTCTTGAAGAAATTGCTGTGGATAGAAGAGGTCGTACACGAACCATGCTATGCATTTGCCGCAATAGCAGTTCCCTAGAGCCAAATAAGTCCTGGGCAGAATCGCATAAAAACAAAAGGAGCCTCTGAGATCTGTAGAGCACAGCTCAAAATAGATTATACGTTCAAGAAGATTATTTGGCAAACTATGAGTTAATCTCATAAACTAGTAGATCCCTCACCACACTACGGAAATATTTAGGATTGTGAAAGATCATTGGGTGTCTCATCCAAAAAGTCCAATGGCTCACGGATCCCAAAATTTCGGGGGTCCAAAATGTATGGCAAAACTTCCCCTACGGCATGTCGGACTCAAGACACAATATCGCTTCATTCCGAGTCCCGAACACAGTCTGAAACCAGGAGTCCGGAACTCACCCTGAGAGACAGCACCCACGGTACACATCCGGGTAATAATCCCACCCACGGTACACATCCGGGTAATAATCCACTCTAAACAACCAGGAGTCCAGGACCCACCCCGAGTGACGCAGTACGTACGGCACACATCCGGGTAATAATCCCACCCTAAACAACCAGGAGTTCAGGGCCCACCCTGAGTGACGTAGTACGCACGGCACACATCCGGGTAATAATCTCACTCTAAACAACCAGGAGTCCAGGGCCCACCATTAGTGACATAGCACACACGGTTCACATCCGGGTAATAATCCCACCCACGGCACACATCCGGGTAATAATCCCACCCCAGACGGACCTGCGTGCTGGGCGTCTGCGGAGTGCCATTGGCGCTGTTCAGGCTGTTGACGCAAGGGCCGGTGTCCAGCGCCAGCTTGTGCTGGCTGCGGTCGGCGGCCATCTTGCTGCCCTGGGCGGTGTTAGCCGCTGCACGGCCTACGACCGGCGCTCATGTCCGACCAACAGCGGCCTTCTGAAACAGGAGTCTTGCTGGAGAACGTGGAGCATCACACATGGCACACTGAAGCCCGAAACCATGAGACACGTGCTCATGTGAAACACAGCGTCCTGAAACAGGAGTCTTGCTGGAGAACGTGGAACGTCACACATGGCACACTGAAACCCGAAACCATGAGACACGTGCTCATGTGAAACACGGCCTCCTGAAACATGAACCCATGAAACACGAATACCTCCCAATATGCATGAAGATGTGTAACCTACAAAAATTTCAGATGGGCGAATAAACGGCTACAAATGCATGAATGAATAAACAAAATACATAATTCAAAGCCGCATAATTTGCGATCTTATTCAACATTTTGCTTTTGTGGTCGGCGTTCACAGATCATGGTAAGCTGACAAGAGAAAGATTAGCGTCATTGGGATACCCTTAGAAGTACAGCCACGCGCCACACAGCCACAACCACGCAAAGCCACAGTCAGGCGCCTTACAACCACAGCCACGCAACGCCACAGTCAGGCGCCATACAGCCACAGCCACGCTACGCCACAACCACGTGCCGCACGCGTGTATGCATTCTTTGCAGGGCGGGGTTCGGAGAACCCAGACCGTCTTCTTGTGGCCCATAGATCAGGTCTGTTAAACATAGATAAAACACCTGGGTCTAGTTGTTGAAAAGAATTCATGGTTTTGGCTTTAAACCAACTTCCTATGGAGGCAGAACATATCGTGCGTTCGTGAAAAGTGAAGAATGAGATGAATTGCAAAATAAATAGTAATGCTAATAGATAAAATGATCGCTCCCCATCACAACTACCATTTAATTTAAATGAACGTCCTAAGCTGAATCCAAAGACATCACCAGCTCCCTACTCTGAAACTCTATTCTTATGTGTTTTTGAGCCGTTTGCTACAGACACGAATCAGCGAGCTTCTCTGGCCACTCAGTATCATGCCCAGGCTAAGTATGGGCACATTAAGATTGAAGGTTTAACACGCACCCGGGTGGCCGGTTGAACACCCTTCCCTCGGGTGGGGGTCAATTTGACTCCACTGAGATCTAAAAGATAGAGATCTAAAAAACTAAGATAGCTAGACACATCAAATTCACATAGTAGATTAACTTTTACGTGAACTCACTTTGGCCGAAATTTGAAGTTCTAGGTAATACCCTTGGGTCAAATGAGGTCAATCAAGGTCAAACTGCAGATTGATATCTCAAGTGACCCCAGACCTCCGTGTGCAACCACCGTGGAGCTAGGTATTTGTCCTAAGCAAATTGTCAGTGAGGCAGCAGCGGCACTGCCCTATTTTTACCTCGCGATTCGTTGCAGATAACAGTGCAGACGACAAAAGGGAGGCAATTGTATTTTTAATCACGGCTGATTTCAGGTTTTCATAACATACCATGCACCGGCTGTCTTACTCTCCTGAGATGAAATACGGCGCTTTTTCAGAGGCGGGTTTGCATTGTGATACATCAGCACAGAACTGGGCACAAACTGTGGGAAGACATCGAAACACGGACCGACCAAAAATGCTGAGGCCAACACATCGCTTTGCTAGCGGATATAATGTTGCATCCATTATGATTATGAGCAAAGTATCGATTGTGACTGCGATAACAATGCTTCTCTAGAACGGAGACGAATTATGAACCGCGCCAGTTCCCCACTACTACCCCAGAACATTCGTATTCTCTCATGTATCTTGTTATGTAATTCACACGGACTAAGCGGGACCCAAAACGGTCCCGCTTAGTCCGTGTACCTCCGTGTGCAACCGCCGTGGTCCCGGTGCCGCAGCATGCTATGGACGCACGTGATCACCTTCCAGTGCCGCTGTGCCAGCGCCACCCTATCGGGACGGCTCGGCCCGCCGGCCGCCCGACGCTGGCTCAGTTGTTTCCGCCGCACGGCTCCACCATGTTGCCTGCTGCGCCGGGACCACCGGCCGCCCGACGCTGGCTCAGTTGTTTCCGCCGCACGGCTCCACCATGTTACCTGCTGTGCCGGGACCGCCGGCCGCCCGACGCTGGCTCAGTTGTTTCCGCCGCATGGCCCCACCATGTTACCTGCTGCGCCGGGACAGCCGCCGGACGACGGCACACTACTCTACCTACTGACCTCCCTCAGCGCCACCAGCAAACTACTGTTCGGCTACGACCTAGGCGTGGTGTCGGGCGCCATGCTGTTGGTGCGCCGCCATTTCCAGCTGACCGACTTCTGGCACAAGTGGTGTCGGCGGCGTTCGGCGGGCCGCGCTGCTGGACGGCCAGCTGGCCGACCGGTTCGATCGCAAGCCGGTTGTGCCGCTTGGTGATCGGCCTCACCCTCGGACTCTCCAGCATGACCGTGCCCATCTGCGTACCTGAGTCGGCGCCGGCCGCCTCGCGCGGACTGCTCGGCACCCTGACGGAGGCAGCCATCACGTTCGGTGGCCTGGTGGCCTCGCTCACGTGTGGAGCGCTCTCGGGCGCGCCCGCGGGCTGGCGCTGGTTGCTCGGTCCAGCCGCGCTGCCGGCCGCCCTGCAGCTGGTCGGGTTCGCCTTCATGTCACAGACGCCGCGCCTCCTGATCAGCCGAGGCCGGGACGCGCAAGCGCATGACGTGCGGCACCGGATCCGCGGCGGCGGGAAGCACGTGCAGGACGAGCACGAGGCGATCAAGGCCGACCTCGACGCGCAGGAGCAGGTTCACCGGGCGAGGGTGGCGACCGGCGACAGCCGCTCTGTCCTCAGCTAGGTGCTGCGCGACCCGACCACGCGGCGCCGTGCTCACCGGTTGCTCCTGCAGTTGTTCCAGCAGGTGTCGGGCGTCAACACGGTCATCTACTACAGTGCCAACATCACCACACTGGCCGGCGTGCGAGATATGGTCACAGGCCATCTGGCTCTCTTCCATGACCATCTTGCCGAGCGTGCTAGCTAAGTCGGTGAGCCTGACGCTGGTGGACCTCGCCAGCCGCCGACCGATCCTGCTGCGGAGCACGCTCGGCTCGGCGCTGGCGCTGCTGCTGCTCGGCGTCAGGTTCCAGCTCAGCGCCAGCGCCTCTCCGGCCGTTAGTGTGGCTGGACCGGCCTGTTGAACGGCCAGCGCCTGCGACGTGCACCTGCACCTGCGTCTGTGGCTTCTGCTTCCGGAACCTGGCGGTCGGGCCGGCCAACGGCTCCTGCATGCCGATCGTCTCCTCCCACAACTCGTCGGAGGCGGCCGGCCGCTGCGCCGACACCGCCGCGTTGGGTGTGGGTGGGCTCACCTGGGCTCCCAACTGGCGCCCCACCTACGCCTGGCTGCCCATCACTGGCATGCTCCTCTACATCACGCCGTTCTCGCCGGGCCTGGGCGCCATGCCGTGGACCATCACAGTAGAGAGCTTTCCGGTGTGGGCCCGCAGCACCTGCATCTCCATCACCACGGCCGTCAACTGGTCATTCAACCTGCTTGTGTCGCTGACGTTCTTGCCGCTGGCGCACGCCCTCACGCACCAAGGCACGTTCTTCTACCTTTTCTTCGGGTGCACGGTGGGCGGCCTGGCCGTGTTTTTCGTGACGGTGCCGGAGACAGGGACTGTGCAACTGGAGGAGATGCCCATGCTCTTCTCGCAGCCCTGGGGTCTCCATGAGCCTGGCCGGGAGCGAGCTCCCCAACAAGCCAAAGGACTGCTGTAACGGTTGCGTGAATCCTTTGGCGAATGATAGTAATGTTCTAGGCGACACTAATTTTATGTTTGTTTTTTTGCCTGTTTTTCCACTTTTTCTGAGCTGATGGTGGTGGAAGGTGATTCAACATACGCCTAGAAATTAAATCTCTCTTGAATGCGTGCACATACGTTTCATCTAAGGAGGCCCTCAGGGCTTGTGGACGGGGTTTGCAGCTTTTTTTCAGCGCTTTTGTGCACTCTGTACGAAACATCGAATCTCGCTCAGTGCGATAAAAAACCCGTCAACCTTTGCGGAAATTGGGCCTTTTTATGCTTTGACAACAAAACAACATCAAAGCCAACTGGATCCCATTAACTGTTAAGGCATGATTAAGCCCCTTCACTTAAAGTAGCTCTCGACAACTAGGCAAAACACTTAAGCGTCGAAGGCCAAGGCACGCAAGCTTAACAGCTGTCGATAGCATTCATCCGATCGCACTAGACGGTGCCGCGCGTGGAAGCGCGCAAAACATTCTAAAATAGTACAGTGGAGGAGTCGGCGGCGCTCGACGACCGAACTGGTGCCGACCCGGCAGCGCCAGGTCAGGCCAAGCTGCTGAGGCGGGCTGCTGGCTGCACTGACCCGACCGACTCGTCTGGAGCACTGACCTTATCGTAAAGAGCACATTTGAGCAACCACTAAATATACATATATATATATATATATATATATATATATATATATATATATATATACATCTTATATATGTTTATATATAAGATGCATATATACATATTAAGTGTATCATATATCTACATAATATACATGCTATAGCTATATATATCACGTACATATTTTGACGTGTAAAAGTGAGCGTCAACAAACAATAGGACATAACGTGTAATTTGATATAATCATAAATTATCTTACCACAAAACTATACGTTTCAGCCGTTAAGTACGGTGTTTTCATGATCATTTTTAATCACGAATCCTTACCACACGGTTGAGATATAGCCTGAAATATAGGATATATATATATATATATATATATATATATATATATATATACATGCGTATATATCTAGCATTCAGGTGGAACACATACGTGGCGACATCATCTGCAGATATTTATATTTTGCCCGTGTCAAGAAGTATGACGAAAAAGCTACTCCAAGAAATCCTGCTAAACGGCTAAAAAATATGTTGTCGGTATAAGGTCACCTAGTATTTTATTAAATACTTTGCATGTCATACTTTGTACAAGAACAAAGCTAAAATATTGTAAAATTATTCCTGAGTTCAATTTTGGGGATCGGATTTCGGGATCCAACCCAGCCATCAATCAGAATTGTCTACAAATAATCCATCGCGGTGGCTCAGTTGGCTTCATTGCAGGTCTTTGAATGCGCTCATCAACTGCAGCGTGGGTTTGATGCACTTAAAAGAGTTTGCAAGTCTCTTTCACAAAGCGTGAGTCTGTTCCAGAAACAAGGCCTTGGACGCGCAATGTTACCGGATTTTTTCTCCTGGAAATGGCTTCATCCAAACACGAAATAGCATTCAAAGACGTGAGGTAACGCCAGTGTGTACCTCCTGCTGCCTCAGATGGCATACTGCTGCTCAAATTTGGAAATGTCAACAAAATATGCTCATTTTTGGCACCGAGGGTGTATACAAAAATATTATCGCCTTATTATGTTACGCTGTCATGGCATTGAATTGCTAGGCACGAGAATAAACAGTCTGTTCTTCAGCTGATGATGAAGATAAATTGATTATTTTTTAAAAATGGACGAAAGCCCTAATAAAGCATTCATTTTCATTCCCAGCCATTCAAACCTGCTTACGCTCGGACGCAAATAATAACCAAAATAGCGTGTTGTATTCGCATGGACGTAGCTTTAATAGCGTCCTGTCTTATTTGCGGCCAAAATAAATGCACAGCAGTGCATTCAATTTCCGGAAACAAACCCGCACGATCCCTCAAGGTGCCCGCTATTTGCTGAAATGGCTCGCGGCCAGAGGCAGCAGCCGCCCTAAAGGTCAGGGACCGTCAGAGAGTATGACGGGCTGTGCCGAGTGGTCCCGGTACGTTAAATTTTCGTCACAAAATTTTGCCGTTGACCTGAAACTGCACGACCTGATGGTGAGATTAGGGCTCATGCCCCAAGCACTGCTACCATGGGGTCTGTTCATGCCGAAAGTTCGCACCAAATCTTAAAACAAAGCCACAACAAGAGTATTTTTTAGCATCATCTGTTCGCATGTCAGATTTTATTAGCACGCGTCCGAGTAGCCGGTTGAATATCCTTTGCTCGGGCAGGTGGGGTAGGGATGGGGCAATTTTACTCCCCTGGTATTTCAAAAACTAAGATGGCAAGACACCCAATTTGGGGTTCCACGGCCATTAAATGGGACCAACAAAGGTCAAAAGAGGCCAAAATCCAAATCGGTGCCTCAAGCGCCCACAGACCTCCTTATGCAACCGTCTTGACCTAGATACCTATTGTAAACAAAAGGTCAATGGTGTTCACTTGAGGTCAGTTGCCTTTTTGACTTTCCGAAAGTTAAGATAACCAAAAACCTAGGAAATTGATGTTATTTTGCCGCTCAAATAAGCGTCAGGGATTACGCTAGGCGGTATGACCCATAAAACGGAATGCAGACGTGGTTACTTTAGTCAATGGTCTAATTCGACCTTTAAAAAATTCCTGAAACAGCTCTCGTTTGGTCCCTGTCGCAGTTAAATCCGAAATGAGCACCAGAAGCTATTCCACAAAACAAGCTCTTGAGTAAAAAAGCAGATTAGTTTGGTCTCGTTCTGGCCTTCATACCTAACCTTGTGTCGGTGGAATTGGTGGTAATTATGAATTAAATTGGTGTATTGCCTAAGAAACTACCTCAGATATGTATGACTTTGTTAAGCACTCTGTTGTGTCACATTAAACGGTTCCTTAGAAATGCTTTCGCTAAACAGCCATAGCCTAGCTTTACACTGCCATAGGCCAATCACCCTAACCAGGTGCATCTTATTTTGTTATACCACAAGATCCGCCTATTTGAATTCCTTACATGAAAAAGTAATGTTTGGTCCGGGCCTACACCGCCGTAGTTTCGTATCACCTACTCGTAGATCCGCGTAGATCCATTGCAATCCAATTGTGGAGCCATAGCTTCGAATTCAACGCAATCCATTCCGTTCCGCTTTGAAGTTTTGTAGATGAGTCAAGTATATCCATAGATTGTCAAATCTGAAATCCAAATACTTACCTAATCCATGAGCATCCCTAATGTGATGTAACCTGTATTAATGTCGAGTACCACATGACAAAATGAGTGATTCTACGTAAATACTCGTAGTTACAAAAAAAAAACTGGAGTGCAGCGTACCAATGCCTTCTCATCGATTACGTGCAGCATCACAATCCCAAATGATGACTAAACCTTAGCGCTTAACAAATCTGTACAGCTGTTATGACTTGACACCAGAACGGATGTGCCGCCTAAATTAGTGCGAGATTTGTGCCCAGTGGTTTCAAGGTAAATATAAACATGCTGACTACTACAGCACTTTGGTAGCACTCAACGTCCGGATAACAACAAATGGTTAAGTTGACGGTGACGAAGAAATACTTTCATTTCAGCAGTTAGGTCCGTCTGTAAACCGCTTTGGAGTGAAATGACTCAAAAGATGGGGCAAGCGCTTCCCCGAATTAATTGCTCGTCTTTATGCCAGCGTTTTTTTTTCACACACTACGTGGAGCCTGCAGGTTTTTACATTGGAATGAGCCCTTTGGTATGCTAATGGGCGACAGCGGTACTTTCGTTAGGGCGGCATTTTCGTCTCGGCTGAAAACATACGATAAAACGGCGATATCGTGAGAGACTTACTTGATGCCAATATATTGGGATGGTGCGTTCATTTTCTATTTGTTTTCTGTGCAATTAGTGAACGTCCTTGGAGCACCATACTGTATTAGACAGCCTGACCAAAGGATGGGGCTGATGAAAGTTCCGTAACTACACCACCTATTTGATGATTTCAACTCTGCAGAAGTGTTTGGTGACGCGCTGAGGTGGACGGAGGAACCAATGAAAAGGAGGCACGTTCAAATAATCGATCACACCAAACGTCTCGCTCACCATCACGTCAACTCAACCACACGCAGCAGATCAGAGGACTGGGGACCTGCCAGTTGGCTCCGCCCAGGCTCCTCACCTGCGGTACGTGCCTTGGCGCCCTCTGTATGGTCACCGCCGGCAGCGCCTCGCCCGTCCGCAGCAGCCGGGCGCCGCCCCGCCGCGCGTCTCCTCCTGCTGGCGGCTGCTGGCCGTCTGTGGCGCCGCGGGCGGTCAGTCGCGCGCAGCCGGCCCCACCGCCGCGCCGGCCCCATGTGTGCCGACGACACACTAGACGGCGCCTCTGATGGAAACCATCCCAGGCGGCCTTCATTTCCTGGGCCGCGGCCCGTGCGCCGAATGGATATTTCCGTCATTCGCGGACCATGGGTTGGGATTTGATTATGAAGATACATGGGACAAATGCACGTCATGACGCATGAATGTAATGTATGTTAGGTTAGTGTCCGCAATGCTGCCAGCGAATCGTGCCATTAACATGGAAGTAGCAGCTCATCACCCCGTTCTTCGTTTCTTCAAAGCAACCGGGTTTCATTCCACCAAGCAAAGGGTACCTATTGTATCCTCCATTTCCATCCAAGCATCCTCATTCCAGGCTGCCGGTGGAGCAGCGAAATATTCCGCCTGGCTCACGAGGTGAGTATCAACGCTAAACTGTGAAATCAGGCGCTTTATCAAAATTCGTGGCCTATTGATTTGGCTGGAACAGTGCTGCCATCGGACGGCAGCTGCATAAACTCGGGCCGCGCGCGGGCCGTCGTCGGCCGCAGGGCCAATCGATGCCCAAGCCTGGTAACCAGAGGAACGGGAGTGTGACAGGCGGGCTGCATCAGGTCAGGCCGCCTTCACGCCTCTCATAGCGCAGTCATCTGCCGCTGGCACACACTCTCTGCCGCTCAGCCCCTCCATCGAGGCGATACGCGCAAGGTGTTTGATGACGTGTCTGCTAGCTTTTGGGTTTCTTTTCGCTTTCACTTAAATGCGTCAGCGTTTACAAGGGCAAGCTCTCCATAAGGATACAGTGCATTGACGGAGCGGAAGCTATACGGTAAAGCCATGCATTTCAGAGCAACGCCATGATAACCTTACTGTTTTCTGGACGCTTGCCCTTTGCCGTGTCCTAGCCATCTTCGCCACCGCAGTTGTGACGATTTCGTTGAACAAGAGCCTGAAACGAGCTGAGTATTGCTATTCATTCTCAAGGTTTGAATCGGTCGCGCGACAGGTCACGCACATGCGAAAGTGCCTCTTCTGAATTGCGATGGGTAAGAAGACTTCAATGTTGTGATGAAAGTTGTGCCAAAATACCAATACCAACGTCGAATATCAGGAACCATGCGCAAGACTGAAATGAGTCAGCTGCAGAAAGATTTGAGAACACCCGTCCGGCGTCTTCGTGAGTTGGATCAGTGCACACAACCATACGTCTTGCCCACAACGACAAGAGACTGACGATTTTCAGCGCCTACAAAACGGGTTCTTCTTACGCTTAACCACGCATAGATCCACGAATCAGCCCAAATGCGTACATTTGGCCGAGATCACTACAATATCGATGTTATTGCCAAAAGTCACAGGAAAATGGGGGCCGTGCCAAGTACAAGAGTCGCAAGCATTTTCCTCAGCGCGAGACTCCTGGTCTACATCCGGTACACGACTGGCAGCGGCCCGTCGTCTAGCGAGCCCAGCACAACGAGCGTCCAGCAGCGGCAACTCGTCGTCGAGCAAGCCTAGCACAGCGAGCGTCCAGAAGCGGCCCGTCGTCGAGCAAGCCCAGCACAGCGAGCGTCCAGCAGCGACAACTCGTCGTCGACCAAGCCTAGCACAGCGAGAAGCGGCTCGTCGTCGAGCAAACCCAGCACAGCGAGCGTCCAGCAGCGGCACCCCACCGTCGAGCAAGCCGAGTACAGCAAACGGCTCACCTGCGACATGACCGGCCGCTTCTTGGCCGGCCGCTATCCGTTTATTAGTATGCTTCACGCAGCGACAGCGAGACTTGTTCTGGCTGCTACCGTACAGTCGATACGCAAACGGTAGTGGTAGTTCGGTAACGACATCTCTGGATCCACTGTGCGGAACTGGTGCCCTTGAAGAGCAGTTAACCCGACCGGTGTTTGTTGCACCAGGAAGGTTTCGAAGCTGCTGCCCTGCCCAAAGCCGCGCGCTTTCTCATTTTCACAAGCGCGTCCTTCAAATACAGGTCTCTTAACGGAAGAAATAATTTTGTTTAACCATAAGATTGTACCTCAAACGAGCTTCATACACTGAGCAGTTGGCACTCTGCCATGACTAACCTTACCGCAAAACGTTGCGAAGGAAGCAAGCTGTGTGTTGCACCCACATCATTTTACCAAAATGACGTCCAAGTCGGCATGGTATCTTACAGGCGTAGGTAAATATGAAATTAAAACACGTCGTGATCGATTTAAAGTGAGGTTTTGCACGGAGCTACTAATTCACAGACATGCAGCTGCACACGCAGCAAGCTGTCATCTGCGGAAGTGGTGTAACTTTTGCCACGCATGCACTTCTTACTGGTGTTATCATCACCTTCACCCCTTTGGCATAAAAATACTGCCATTCAAGGTGTTCACACAAGTCCGAGACACAGTGAGTAGCGTGTGTGTGCGGGTTGGCAGAGGTGCAAATGTAAAGGAGAGCTTCAGAGCGGAACCTCCGAAACAAATTTTGCTCAAACGACGTTGCTTAGAAAAAAGCATCATGTTGAACTCTCGGGGACATTAAAGATGAAATTTTGAAGTAACGCTGCCGGTGTAATTGAACAACAGAGGCGTGGCAACTCCAGCTAATGTGTGAGTTACTGGCCAAAGAAGAAACTTGTGCCACGCTCAATCGACCGGTTTTGTGTGACCTATCCGCACCTGCCCACATTATGGTTAGGTACTCTAGCACTGCATCCGGACAAAACTGAGAGGCATCTAACTGACCGGCTTCTTGCTGGATCGATTTAGCTGAATATTATTTGTTGATGGGTCTTTTTCCTGTCATGTCATAAAAAGAAGTGTTCAAGGCCGAAAGGCAATTCAACGACATGTCTCTTGTCGATATGTCAAGTTGACGAAATGTTCTTTCGACGCATCGTCCAGTTCAATGATAATTTGCCCCAATGTTCTTCATGCGAATAACATTTGTCGAAATCTACCAGCCTAGGGGAATGACCTATGTCGAATTTTTCCTCCATACAAACATGGGCGTAGGAACAGGGGGGCCAGGAGGCCATGCCCCCCCCCCAAACTTTTCAAGGTAGGGGCCAGCAATGTTAACGGGCCCCCCACTTTTCAGATTAAGGCTGCATTTGGCTTACTTTTGCACTGCATTAAACATGCATGCCGATTTACCTAGCTCACCAGCCATCTCCCTCAAGATGCGTCATCTTTTCCGTTTGCTCATTGGCCTCACTTGGTATACAGCCGCAAGGATGACCTCGCACGGCCTGGTGACTGCAACGCCGGGCTTCGAGGCTGCTATCACTATGACTTGTGAGCACGCATGTTCAACACCATATTACGTAGTTTTCTTATTGGTAATCAGCTCTGACAGGATCTTGAGCATTATAAGACGATCATGGGCTAGCCATGTTAATACAAATTATAAAACCCATTCCATCAGCAATCTGCACTCAGGGAGAACTCAATATTTCTGAGGAACACAGCAAAACATGGAACTGGGGTATATGTGAAAACTATTGGACTGCCTGCGGTGATCAGGGATGTTGTTGCGTCAATGAAGGTTCCTGTGCTGATCCGGGGCTAACTGCGCGGATCAGAAGTCCTCCCGTGTCAGGGATGGGGACAATGTGGCATGATATGTCCTTCTAATGGCCTCCGGATCGACCAGGAGATCCTGCCCCGTGCCACCAGGATGATAGCCAGAGGACACTTCGCGATGGGACGGAATGGCCCATCAGCCCTTGACCGGAAACGGTAATGTACGCCTGGTGCTCTAGTCAAGAGGCCCCTTGCCCGGAAGGGAATAAGGAGTCTCATTATTGTTGAGTGTAGTGGGGCCCTCATTATTGTTGAAAAGCACTGGTCGAAATGAATTTAAAACAACAAGCAAGGTTGTGTCATGTTTGCGTGAGAACGTCCATTTACTTCAGAATGCATTATTAAAACAAATTACATCAAAAAGCTTGAACATGCCCGCCCGCAAGCTAGAGAACAAGGACAAGGATGGTCTGGGTTTCAACTTCCGTAAAACCGATAAGTTTCGGCACTGCAAGTGCGCTACCAGACGGCGGGCGCCGTGTTAATCTGTCTTCTGGACAGATAAATTGCTGCGGAAACATGAAAAATACAGTTTTTTCCTTCACTCTTCCTGTTCTACCACCAGATTCCACCCCCACTTCGCGGTTTTTTAGGGGCCAATCCATTCTTTTCATCAATCTAAAAATTGCACGCATGAAATATGCCCTCAAACTGCCTTATAAATACAAGATCTGATGTCATGAAGCGTCCAAGGATACTTTCTCAGAAGCGCCGTCATTTTCGTCCACCCGTTGGCTACAACTTGATATTAGCTGCTAGCCCGACGCTGCGCGGCCTGCGGAAACTGCAACGCCTGGGGTTGAGGCCTGTGTTTCTAAAATTTTCGAGTACGCATGCTCAAAATTACGCCACATAACTTGTATAACTAGTTGATTTAAGTGTTTAGAGGTAATCTTTTCAGAAGTGTAATCATTTTCGTCCACCGGTGGGCCACGGCTAAATATTGGCTATTAGGCTAACGCTACGCGGACTATGGAGACTGCAACGCTTGGTGGCGAGGTTTTTGTTGCAAAGATATACGAGCGAGCATGTTAAAAAACACGTTACATGAATTGTATCACTAATCGCTTCTGACTGAGTGGTGAACATTTTCAGACAAACATGGCAGCCATGCTAATACACATTGTTGACCATTCGATTGGCAATGAAATTTTCGTCTTCAAATTTGGATCAAGCACATCGATCTGCGATCTACCTTCGCAATGTCCTCAATGTCTGTAGAACCCAGATAAAAAATTGACAAAGCTTCTGAATTCTATCGGTCTAGAAAGAGTCAGCTGACCATTGTAATTTAAAAGCGCCGGTGATTTCTTCCATGCAGTCGTTCAACGCCTGATTTCTTCGGCTTATTGACCTCAAAATGCAAACGGAATTGGGATCACGGTAGCTCTTGGTTTCTGCTCTGCTTACAAAGTAAAAATAACGATAAAACGAAGAAAACTGTGTCACCTATTAACAAGTGAGCCATATCCGGGGATTTTGAGAGAAGTGGGGTGGGGGGGGGGGGGTCACCATAAGATGGGCTTTTGTCAACCCTGTGTTCCCTCTTGACAGCGCTCTGGCTACGCCCCTGCCTACACACAAAAGCAAATGACGTCGCGTACGTTGCGTGATGGGCAGAGAAGTGCCCGTTGGGCCAATCCATACCTAAGGCAGACAGCTTCCCGGAGGCCATTTGTCTGCGGTGGTGTGGTATAAGGGAAGATAGTTGGGGAAAAATGCTGCCGCATGCGTCCATCACAAGTTTCACACACCATGTAGAAGTAACGCTGATTCAAAAGTATGCGACAAAGTAGCCACACGATCAGCTCGCGGTCAGTCATGCAGCAGGCATCCAGGCCAGGGCAGTGACTACCGACGGCGGACAGGGGCAAGGCCCAGATAAGGAGCATATGACAGATGAGTCATATTAGGTGGCTTCATTATTGAAAGAGAATCTCCAGTTTTATGGATTTTATCACATTGCTTCTATCAGTTTCAAACTCCCAAGTTTGTTTCCGCCTAAAATGCTGCGAGAAGTATTATTTCTTGAAAAGCAGCCAGCGAAATGAAGGCGCATGAAAAACCTGACGCACTGTGAGCCATCGATCCACTTTTTAAGTTCTCACCAACCTATACCCATGCGTATTTTGGCATCTACACTGTGCAGGCAAATGTTTCCTTAATAGCCCAAAGTACCTACCCGCTCGTTGAACTTCGTCTCCCCAGGAAAGACAATGTTAAAATGGACGAATAATCCAGGGAAGCTGGATAACCTTATTTGCCAAATGACAGATGAGTCGAATAGGCAAGATTGTGCACCAGTGATAAACGGCTCTAGATGCATAGCTAGCATAGCAGCCATGACATTTGAGTAAAGAGCAATAACAATCTCCATTTTACCCCCTCCCCCCTCCCCGGTCATCGGGCTCGCTTTCCAGAAAAAGTTTCTGAAGTACACCCTGAGCTTGCCCCCCTTCATACCTTTTGAAACGTTCCTACGCCTATGCATACAAAGGTTGTAATTTCAATTTCTAACGTCGAATGGATAATGGCGACGAATTCAGGCCCACTTACCTACTTTTCTCCCAAACGTCACTTTTACTCGAAAAATTGTTGCCTATCATGTATGCCTGAAGGATGGCATGCACCTGTGTTTTACTTGCGGGCCTCATGGAATGAAAAGTGATACTGTTGGATTCCTTATGTTTTCGGCGATTGGCATATTCCGTGTTAATTAGTGACCAAATAGGAACAATTCCATTTATGGATCAGATGGCAATGATAGTCCTCTCCGTCCCATTCCGCTTGGCGTTGGTAGAAACCATTCGGGACCGTCCACACATAAAGCCACGCACGTCTAGCAAAGTCCCAAATTCCATCTCCCTCTAAGGCTACACGGGTTTCCCTGGTTCTCTGCGACCTGAGTAATATTGGCTACGCTCCACCAACATCGTCCGCATCAGCGCGGAACGTAATTTATTTTTGGCAGCCTCTTACAGTCAAGGGGTGTTATCACCTCAACCAAATCCAATCTCCGGTTCGAATTTCCATCAAATGAATTCGGGTATTTGGCCATTGGACGAATTGAAAGCCGCCTTTTTGCCGTTCGTTAATTCGTATTTCGACAAAAATGAGCCAACGATTTTTCATTGGTCTGACACTCACCTACATCCCATTTGGGCACATCAAAATTGGGCTCATTAGCATCAGGAATAATTTAAATTTTGACAATATGCTTGTCACCAACAAGACACGTCAATATGTATTTCGCCCCCCGCAGTTCGCCTTTTGAACTCGGCGACAAAAAAGCATGGCAGCAAAACAAGTTCGGTTTTTGCACGTTCAACGAACAGGCCGTCAGAAAACTCATTCGGCGATTTGTCCTGTAATCCTGTAGAGATGATCGTGCGCTTCCGCAATGCGTAACTAGCATTTTGAAATGTCTGAAACAGCTTGACACAACCGGCTAAAAAGGCATGTGCCTGCTGAACTTGGCTGTGTTTGAGATCTGATAGGCAAAAGTGGATACCATGTTTAAGACCTAGATACTGAATTACGCAGGCATGCTCGAGCTCCGCTACCTTAAAATAACGTTTTATCTGAATTGTTACGCGCCTGAATGTGACACCATCGCAGACCGGATGCAATTACGATTGACTTAACTGCGACCCTAAGTCTCCTGGCTCCGCCAAGTACTTACTGCAATTGGTTCCGTTCTGACTTAGCCAGATGGCGTCTCATTCTGACTCTGCTCTCACGCAGAGTCTGGTCGACGTGACTTGACACAGCATGTAACACATGGGGCCGAACCTTGTGGTATAGTGAGAAAAATGTCCTGTAAAGTGAGAGTGCAGCAGAGCTACCAATTAAGTTGGCAGCGCATCTAATCTGGCACAGCACGTGCGGTGGCGCATCCAGGGGTCTCCGTGGAGAATGTCGTATGCTTATGAAGCCCCGGCATCCTACCGTAGGGTGGGTGCGAAATTGAGTTGGCAGATGTGTTAGGGTTAATCCGCCCAATGAAACGATAAACACCGAACTGAGACTATAACTGTCAAAATTAGGCTGGGAAGCAAGGTGATCGAAAATTGGATGTAAGGCAAGGCGAAGCCGAGGCACATTGACTGCACGCTGAGGAAAACCTGTGTTATTGACATGGTGACTGGCTAGTGTAAGTGAAACGGTATGCAGTGTGTATGGTCCTAGTTCTGTGATGCTCCGTGCTTATTTAAGATGTAATTTGGAGTCAAATTTGTAACACAATATTGTAGCAGTGTCTAAGTTGGTTTTGAAAATGTGGTAGATGTTCTGTTGTGTTTTGTTATGCTTTTGTTGGTTGAAATTTTGGGACAATCACATGGTTTTGAGGTATGATTTGTAGCTGGCTGAGATGATGGGTATGGCCAATTGCACTGTGTGGTTGTATCTCACAGGTGCTGCCATTAGCTGGAGGTCATTCTAGTCCATGGATGGAAGGAGCTCTTAAAGTGACTGAAACTGTGAAATCAGCCTTGTCTCTGACCTGTGAATCTGAAGGCAGGTGCTATAACTATCAGTTTAAAATTTATGACAGTAGCAGATGCCTGCCCCTGCTGTCTCAGAACAGAACAAAGATAAGTGGACAAAAATAAGACAGCTAGATAGCTGATGTATTGATGGTAAGCATAACAGATCAGTCAAGGTCATAGTTGAAATCTCACTCCCCCCTCTTGGTGTAGTTATCTCACTGATTATTTATGCTGCTTCAGTCTATTGATGAGGAAATTGTTTGGCTAGTCATAATCCTTGGCTCAAATTGTAACATGCTGTTGGCCTCACATCTAGGTTAACCAATGTACTAACCTGTCATTTCAAAGGTAACCTGGGTCAGTGAGCTGTTCAAACTTTTCATGGCAAAAGGTTCAATTTTTTTGGTTAGCAATGTAAGTCTTGAAGCACAATATGCTGGTGAAACATAGACAACAGCTATGAGATAGATGTCAACATGGGACAGTGGTCTATGATACCCACTTAATGTCACTATCCAATGATGTCACTACTGTGTTACCTTATGCAGATGTCACCTTGTCAAACATTTGGGCATTTTTATTAATAAATCATGTCACATGAAGGGATACAACAACAATGAAATTGAATGGGGTAGGGTCTTCCCACAATGCACTCACTACCACCATGCCAGATGTTTTGAAATACATGTTATATATATATATATATATATATATATATAACCCAACCTAATGTATATATATATATATATATATATATATATACACAAAGTCATGCTTATGCAGGTTCAGACCTCAATGAGATAAAAGTTATATAAGCAGCATTTTTGTAATCTCATTGTGCTGTTTTTTTAAGAAGATTGCCCGCAGAAGCTTTTCCAGATCTTTTAGTACTAAGAGTTGTTTTGCATTCCTAAAAGTGCTATTCAACTCTACCTAGCACAGTTTGATAGAATCTACTGGCACTTTTGCGTTCTGCACATTGGCTCACTCTGCTGTAGCTGTATAGTCAAGGTGCTGCAATGATGTTAGTACTCTGTCATGTCACTGGCCTTCCATATTGCATGCATTGCACAGCATTGCACACTTCATTATGGGACACCATGGCTACAACAGTCAGTGAAGTGTCTGGAGGCTATGGTGCACTGTTGGTGAAAACAATCTCTTTCTGAATTTGTGTTGTCTTAGAAGACTTACTCATTTACTGGAAGACCCTACCATTTTATTAATATCAACTGTTGCATGCTACTAGATTGAAAAGTGCCGTTTTATATTTCAGGTGCCGGTCATGCCTTCTGTCAGAATTTCAAGTGTTTAGCAGGGAAATTAGTTCTTTCACAACTTTTCAGACTCAAATTATGACCTTTAGCACTTCCACTATACAGAATTTGTACTCTTACCCAGGATTCCAGCCAGACATCCACATAAAGGCTGAATAATATCCAGACTGAACACTTGATCTGCTGCTTTAGCTGCTGAGTTGTCTCAGCATTTTCATCAGTGTCTTTCACAGTGGCCATCTCTGTATCAGTCTTTTATATCAGTCTCTGTTTCTATCACTGCTACTCTATTGTGGTATCAGTCTTTGTCTCAGTCTCTGTTTCCATCACTGCTACTCTGTTGTGGTATCAGTCTTGGTTTTGGTCTTGGTATCAGTCTTTGTTTCTGCTTGTGTCTGTCTTGGTTCTAGTATTAGCATCAGCCTCTATCCCCACCAGAGCCCGAGCCCGAGCCCGAGCCCGAGCCCGAGCCCGAGCCCGAGCCCGAGCCCCGAGCCCGAGCCCGAGCTCGATCCTGAGCCCGAGCCCGAATCCGAACCTGAGCCCGAGTCCGAACCCGAGCCCGAGCCCGAGCCCGAGCCCGAGCCCGAGTCCGAGTCCGAGTCCGAGTCCGAGTCCGAGTCCGAGTCCGAACACGAGCCCGAACCGCCACTCGTGCCCCCCACCCCCGCCCCTGCCCCCGACCCCGTCCCCGTTCCCCATTGCGTTCCCATTCCCATTGATTCCCGTTTGCGTTCCAGCTCATCCCCTGCTCCCTGTCTCCGTGTTCGTGTCACGCTCTGTGTCCGTGTCCGTCACTGTCTTTGTCCGTGCCTGTCTCCGTGCCCGTGTCGGTCTTTTATGTTAAAGTCCGTCTATCACGTCCGTGTCCGTATTCGTCTCTGCCTGTGTCTCTGCCTGTGTTCACCTTTGCGTCTTGTCCGCCTGTTTGTCTGTGTCTCTGTGCGTGCCCTATCAGTGTTAATGTCCCCCTTACGCTTACTCTCTTCTCCCCATCTGTCGTCCCTTCTGTCCCTCGCGTAAATGTGTCGGGCTGACATATTTCATACTCATTCGTTTCAGAGCCGATGAACTACATTGAGGCCTGATTGATCGAGTTAAGCAAAATGCCTAAGAAAAGTGTCACGAAGGAGTGTCCCGGATGCGAGCGACAGGTGGTCTTAGAAATTACCTCTAGTTTTTAATTCAAGTACAAAAGATTCGTACATGGTGAATGCTTGTGAAGTTCTTGAAAAGGAAGCTGCTATTTCGCCAGTGCAGTTCAAACCAGTCGCATCATGAGTTGCAAAACCCTCGGTGTTCATGGCCGATTGCTGCTCAGATCGGGGTTCTGGCTTGGTGGTGTCAATAATCGTTCCTGCGATCCCGGTGCGGGAAGGTGTTCATACCTGGTGGTCCCGTCATTCCAGCTCCCGGTAGCGTGCAAGACATGCCCGTGCGGCCACTCGTTCCGGAAGCCGAGCGACTCGACATCGGTGCCTACCCGGCTTTCCAGCTCGTCTAAGGAGGGCGAGTCTCCCGCCAGGCGGCGCACTGAGCGCGTTAAGCGTGAGAAGCCGAAGTTCTATGACGCCAGCCAATACGAGCGTGCCCCCAGAAAACGAGTGAGTGCGCGCTGGTTGCTAGGTGCTGTAGGACTTCACACGCTTATATCGTGCGCGACTATATTGGAAATAGCGTCCAAGGACGCTGATTATGTAAGGTAAGGCGTTGAACACAATTCAATGTATTCTTAGTCATCATGCATAAACACAAAGGTGATGGTTTGCTTCATGATATCGGGTGGACCGCACCGTAAGCCCCAGCTCGCCATCAGCTTATGGTACAAGTGACCGAGTGGCCATCTGCATTGAGCTCTTCTTTCGATTTCCGGCGAGAAACGATTCACAGTGTCCAGTTTCCGCCAGGTGTCACAGCCTTAACACTTTCGGCAGTCAGCTACTACCATTCCCCTATGTTGCAGGGATTGGGTGTACCCGAAATCTCAAACTCCAAAGAGCAGCTAAAACAGTCAAGTTTTAGTCAAAAGAAGTCAAGTCAAAAGAGACAGTCGAATTCAAAAGAGTAATAAGGTTGAAATTGGCGGCACACTCCAAGCACTGAATATATTTTTTCAGATAGCTTCTCTATCTAAGAGCGTTCTCTATAAGTCGTACTAATTATGCAGAGTTGTGGCCTTAGCACGGGTCCGTTGGTAGCCGCTTGTCACGTGGCAGTTTCTGCATTATACCTGCCTTACAAGCTCGTTGTCCATAGCGTTATGATCGAGGAAAATGTGGAAATGACAGTGAATTGAGTGTTGGGATTTTCCTGGGGCTGAAAACTCAATGTAGGGAGTTGAATCGTCTGTCCGTTTTAGAACGTGAAATGATGTAACTTTTGTGTGTCCAAAAGTTTAGAAGCGATTGCCCCCGTGACCATGCGAATGGCTGGCCCACCATTCTACTTAACCATTACCAAAAAAATTGCTCAGGATGGTTGGCACAGTTATCATCGGGTTCTGGGAACTCGCTGAGCAAAGCATGTTGCGTGTATCCTGAACTTGCTACCAAATCGTGCCGCCCCGTTCAACGAATAAGTTGCCCTCCGTTCTTTCGCCGGGCGGGACCGCGGAGGATTGTGCGTGCTCTACAATGTTACGATACGGTCCTTGGTCACCCCTCGCTGGTTAGCTTCCAGCTGACCTTTCCGTGGCGCTCTTGCCGAACAATGCGCCCTCGGGGTTTCATGCCCAGTGTCCCTGGATGAAGCCTTTCAGGTTTTGTCCAGATCATGAGGAGAAACGTGCAGGGGTGGGAATGTAGTCGGACAATATTGTTCTGTCCAGCGTTTTCAAGAGCAGGCTCGTCCAGTCCGGACTGTAAAGCCAGTTTGCTGCAATTTCTCCCGAAGAGTGGGAGATGTTCAATCCAACGCAGTCAGCGCACGAAAATACACTGTTCCATGATAAAAGTTGCACCTTATCAGCGGCATCCAAGACCCACCGCAGCGGTTTGGTGGGAATTTGTTATGGCTTTTCATACTTCTGTGCTATGATTGGTGACAGGCCCAGCGCACCAATTGCGTAGGTCAGTAGCAGCTTGTTGTTTGCTTGTTTCTGCCACCCCTTTAAGACCCGAAATTGATAAGATGCGATGTCTTTTATGATCTGCCTTAGGTTGCCCAAGTGTATTTTTAGTGGCATGTTCTTTGGTGTCTATCCGTTGTAGAACGCTGTCGCGGTAGCCACGAAGAGCGATGCCCGCCGTTTCACCCTCGCCTCGTTAGGAGGGGGGGGGGGGAGGGGGGTCGATGCGCGCCCCCTAAGATTTTCGAAAGATATCTCTTTAGTATGTCGAGCCATCGCGCTCAAAGTTCTGCATCATATGGGGCGCTGATTGCGCGTGTTCTAATGCGAATAATGTGTCTAGCGTTCCTGGTTTCCGAATACCGACGGTTTTTAGGAACACTGCTCGGCGGCCCATGGGCGCCGCCGGCGGAAGCCCGCAACTGAAGAAACCGCCGATCACGTGCGGTGGTCCGACTGTCACATTAACGGATCTCTACACCACGGAACAGATGCATCTACATATCACTGAATCAGAACTGAACAAGAAACACGCCTGTTTCAACACGCACATACGAGCATGCAAATGAAAATTCCGATTTTCAGGAAAATTGCAAAGAAAAAACTGAAGGGCAACCTCTGACCTTGTATATGGGCGTCAATTATTGACCTAGCAACATCCGAATATACAGGTAACGAGTCGCGAGAACCCGTTGAGAGCAATCTGCTGTTTTTCCGCGTGGCTCTATCATTTTTAGTTCGGAAACGGCAGGGGCACATGATCCCCCCCCCCCGCCACTATCAGCCCGTATCATAAAAAGGGTGAATCAGGGCGAGGGTTAGTGATGCGTGCACAGCATGCTCTCAAATCCTAGTCTCATTGAGAATGCATCCCTCGGGGTTCGGACCTGCAGCGGATGATCTCGGACCTAAAGCGCTGCCGATTGCGCCGCGTAAGAAATGGCGCTCAAGATGTCTGTGAGATATTGCGGAGCCACATGCCTGCCTGCGCCACTCGTACATTGGCAGACACTTGCATCAGCCTGCTTGCACTAACCATTCTCGGGAACCTTAGAGGTAATACGATAATATAAGACAAGATAAAAAAGAATACTTTAGGTAAGCTTATGCAGTGTTATCGGTTTAACATTGCACTGTTAAAATACCCGCTTAAGCCAACAACGCACAGTGTCCATGGGTATCAAATGTCTCTACATCGTTGTGGTTGCTCCTACCCTTGCGCAAACAATTGTGCCAGCGCGCTTGGATGCCCTTTGTGATTATGTGCGGTTGACGGAATGCACCGACGTTATCAAATGACGTGCTCAAAATAATTGTCTTCGTTTCTTTCCCCTGATTGTATGAATTCAATCGATGTTGACAAAAAAGTCCTTGAGCTCCTGGTTTGTCGGCATTATGAGTTGGTAGTTCTTATGAACGGTGATGTGTAAAACCTCGACTCTTATGGTGACGAATTCAAAGTTGTTTACTGTCAACATAAAAACTCTGAACTCACAATGGTATCAATTTATTTGTTTTCACGTGCTCCAACACGGAAACCACCTGCGCTTTGTGCATATATTTTCTCGTATTCGGTTCTCTTTGCGACGTACGCGGTGCCGCATTGAGCAATACCTGACTTTTGATTGTTTTTAAGTGCGTACCATATCCTTCTCCACCGCACATTCTAGCGGAGACTTTTCATGACCAGAACTGCTCAAGAGGAATCCAGTATGGAACGTACGAACAGTATTACCTCTGCCTCGGCGCCTTCTTGTAGCGGCGCTCTTACAATTACTCTTATTACAGAAACCGAAGGTGATAGTGGAGCCTGAAGTCAAGAAGGTTCGGATCGACGAAAGACGTTCATTTAAGGAAAAAGAAAAGGAACGAGAAGATAATGGAGCTGGTGCTGCCGGCGAAGAACAAGAAATTGTGTATGAGGACATAATGGCAGACGCAACGAGGGAGGAAACCGCCAAATATGCCATTGTGCTCTCCGAAATAAACCGCAAACTGGCTGTAGTAAACCCTACCTTTTGAATCCAAGGTGTTCAATGCGACCGAGCTCTGTGTGTGAACAAGTGTCGCTTCAGTGAGTTGTGCAAGTGCTCCTGTAAGCGTCCCTTGTGCGTTCCATGATTGAAGGGTTTTGATGTAAAAGTGACGGTTGTGTTTCGCTATCATGCCATGTACAACTGTAGAAAAGTTTGTTAAGATTGTAGCCATACACCATGCCATTTGTATTTTGTAAAAAGCACAATTATCGCGGCACGTTTTTGAAGTGTTGAATCCATGAGACATCATTTTCTTTTTATATTTTGCTGGTGCAGTATCATATTTCGGGTTTTGCTTTTGGTTCTGGCATACGCGCAACTCAAAGCAGTGCATATTTCGATGGGAGAGCGACTGGACTTCCTGTAGCGTGCACGTGTATGTGAACCGAAGTGTGTCATCCGTGCCTCGTGAAGAATTGCTCTGTAGAATTGTCCAAGAATTTGGATTTGTGGCATTTGACGTATGAGTCCATCCGCCACCAGTTTCCGTCGCTATGTTCCTTCGTTGAAAATAAAAATGTGATACCATCCTGATCGCTGTTTTGGGCGAATCAAAGAGCGGTTGTCTTTGCGAACATGACAGAAAGCATGTAAGGTAAATTCCTCAGATGAGTCCCGGGTTCCGTTTGACACTTAGTGACTTGTTACTCCTTTTCGATTAGTCTGTCCCTAGTACTTCATCTTCCTAGGTTACAGCCTGAATATGCGTCAATCGGCATTAAAATAAACACCGTAGAGATGCCCGATCAATGATCAGCATTTGCTGCTCAGATGGAATGCACGAAGGTCACTATAGTTGGCAACCCTCCCCTGCTCAGCTCCGGGTTCAATAATGTGCCTTCAAGAACTTGAAACCCCAGTCTCGTTGATAACACCTGCCCGAGTGGAAAGGTATGCTAGACTATTCCACTACACACATTGGGTACTCCCACATGAGACCTTACAAACGACATGCTTGCCAAATGCAGTCACGAAATGCAAGCGTTGCCTTCTGTTAGTGCTTGGGGGAGGCATGCGTTCACCTATACCGCCAACCTATGACTTCGTGAGGATTCGGGCCAGGGTGTTGGCGCCACCAGTTCACAGATGCGCGTTTGAGCCAATACGCCTTACTGAAATCTGGTAGCCATCCGCAGCTGCTCGTGTAAATTGGCACAAATGTTCCAATCATGGCGCTCGTGCGACGGTGTTCCGAGTAACTATCGTCTGGGGGTGGATGTTAGCATAAGCGCGGATCAAAACAAAACCCAACCGGACCAAAGACAAAACCCGGTGCGTATCCGCCGGTTGCGTGCAGGTGTTAACCTCATCCGGAAGATAAGTGCGTACAGCGTAGGTCACTTTGTGATTGGTGTCGTGTAGGATGATTTGGATGTTTGGTTCCTCCATTTGATACATGCGCACCGCAACGGGCATGACGTTACTGTCACCTCTGACTTCTAAGTCAATGTAACTTGGATAGTTCCCTTCGAAAAATATGACAACATGAATGTCTTGATACCGTAGTGCTAGTTTCCTGTTTATGATCTACTCTGGAGTTATTTTTAAAGTACCAAGCAGAAGCCAACCAAGAAAAACTTGTAAGCTTATAAACATTTGCAGTTATATGCATGATACCTACCCTGATGAAGCCAACTGGGTATAATTATGTACCACAAAAAGGGTGTGTGAATTAAAAAAATAGAAGCCATCTTTAGTTGGAAAGATATGACCTAAACTGAAGGCAAATACTTTATTCGAAGCACGGCCTATAACATGCTTACCTTGTGTGTTACTGGATGAAAAAGTTGGTTAGTGGATTGGAGTTCATGGAGGGCTTGGTTAGTGGAGGTTTTTATTGGTGATGAACATAATGTGATTGGAAATGCCCCTACATCTCACCTTTCAACATCAACCCAGGGCAGGACTGCAGAAATGGAGCCGCGTGTGGTTGAGGTCACAGGTGACCTCTTCACATGTCCAAGCACACACAGTCTGGCACACTGCATCTCAGCCGACTGTCGGCTGGGCAAGGGCATTGCGGCCATCTTCAAACGCAAGTTTGGCGGCATCTCAGAGCTGCTGGCACAGCGTAAGAAGCCTGGTGAGGTGGCCGTGTTGCGTCGCGGGTCACGCTATGTGTACAACCTTATCACCAAGCACAAGTACTACGAGAAGCCGACGTACGAGACACTGCGGCGCGCGCTGAGCGCGGTCAAGGAGCACTGCGTGACGCACGAGGTACGCCACCTGGCCATGCCGCGCATCGGCTGTGGCCTGGACGGCCTAACCTGGGACCGCGTTCTGCCCATCATCAAGGACGTCTTCCAAGACTGCTGCGTGCAGGTCGAGATCTTCTCGCTGTGAGGTGACCTGGCGCCGTGGTGGCGAGGGCCGCAATGGCGATGCGGCTCTGCAGCAGGGTCGCTTTGTCGGACAAAGTTATGTGCTCCTCGTGCTTCACTTTGAACTGGAGATGGTCGGGTTGCGCGAGGAGCATCGCGTTGGCTGACGGTGCTCGTGAAAGGGTTTTCGTAAATCGCGAGTGATGCTGAAGCGGGCGTGTTTCTCAATGGGGGCAGGTGAGGGTGGATCAAGTTGTATCCTATGAAGGACATCTCCGCGAATATTAAAATGCGTGAGATATTCCGAAATGCTGCATATCGGATATGTTGAAGCTGATGTGTCGACATCTCACAGACTTTATCTGCAGTGTACCAGAGAAAAACTCCTCGTGTCACTCAAGTTGGTAATGCCAATGCCGCAAGATGCCACCAATGCCAACCAATCGTTGGCTCTTGATTCTAAGCTGCCCCTCTAGGTCTGCTGCGGTGGCAGAATCTACGAGAATCCCAGCATGTTCGCCATCGGTGATATGTTCTTACTTTGTTGCCTGATGTAGGCTGTGTTTTTGTTATATAATACACGTTGAAAAGGTTCCCGGCCACGAACACGATGTGTACTTGTTTGAAGAGGCGCCTACAGGAGAGTGAGGTTGCGATGGTGGCCCCGTGCGAACGAAATTATGACGGGCAGATCTCTTGGGCTCCCGAGGACTGCCCACGGTTCGATCCTTCCACGCCTGGGAACATTTTATCCCCGGCATCTCACGAATACAAAAGTCCTTTCGATAAACGTGCTGCCCCACAACCCCGCGGCGATAGCAATGGCCGGATGGCGAGCACGGATAATAAAGTGGTGTTTTTTTTTCCAGGAAATGATAATGGAACCAATTTAAGTAGCTGCTGTTCCGAAAAAAACCACTCATGACGCACATCGCTTAGCGATGAACTGTTTGAACGTGTGCGATCGCATCGTGTTCATTGTTCGATCGGAGCAAACGTCATTTTGACGTCAGCGGCTGGGAGCACGTTGAATCTCGACGCCTTTTGCGGCAATCTGTCAAAGATTAGCGAATTGCCGGCGCCTCCCTGCATTAGCAGATGTGGCCAATGAAAGGCTGCGGCCAGCACATATTTCAGAAGCGAGCCGCGCAGTGGGGCCAAATCGCCGCAGTGAGGTACTCTGCGTTCATCGCATTGGAAAGCCGGCAGCAAAATCGATCAGATAAGAACAGACGGTACGCTTGTCACGGTGACGTTCATGAATATTCCAAGGACAAAGTGGCCAGGGGAATGTTGTCTTCCGTTAATACACACACACTGTTGAAACGCCAGCCACGGATAACACCATCAACAGACCGTTCACGTAATAACCGGCGGATAACCCCGGCAGATTCAACTTTTGCCGGCCGGCCTCGGCGCATTAAAACAGTGTTTAGCCGACGCGCCACACTAAGGTCCAAGGTGAACGAGAAACGCCATCCCGCCGAAAGGTCAACGCTTTCCCCAAGCACAGTACATGTATTAGGCATTTCCGTATTTACATCAAGAAGCAGGGACGGCCAGGCTTCATGACAAGAGCCAGTGATCGTGCCTGGGCCCAGTCAACCACGGCCATAAGTACGGTTCGCTTTAATATGATTACATCGGCGCAATGCAGAGCCCGCGAGGACGTGCATGCACTCCACAGGTATCACTATTCACGTCTCTGATTAGACATAGCTTATCTTATTTAGCATATACTGCACTCGGAATCAGGCTGCCGGTGCAAGCGAAAGCTAATTCAAGGAACTGGATGATTGGTTTGTCTACGAAGGGCGCTGGTCTGTCTTCAACGGGCCGTGTAACCCTGTTATAGACCACACGAGCTGTTCAGCAGTCGACCGACGACGTTCCTGACGAGATTCCCGGGCGCCCCGCGTTTCGGCATGGAGATAACCGGCTAGATGACTGCCAACACTCAACACATCTGAATCAGCAACTCAGCAGGTTCGCTGCGCAATGCACATTCCCGTCGCAGCCGCGCTCGCTACACGGACATGTACGCGATCTCATCGGACCTACAACAAAATGATAATCAACGACAGCATATACGGGCACGCTACAAAATGAGGACATCAAAACCATAATATCGACGAAAACCGTTGGAAAATCCCGCCCATCCATGACTGATGCCCACCTGGCCATGAGCGCAGTAGACCACTCAATCATAGTACACAGGCACGACTGTCGCTCAACACAGCACCTGGTTGTGATCCCTGTACTCCGCGTCGTTCGTACACCACTATGAGAAGTATGGTTCCGAGGATATTCCAGTTCCAGGCCATCTGTGCATGTGCAATGGATCGCAAGATCGCAGCTGCCGCACCACAGACAGCACTCGCTCCGCGAAGCTCCAGTGATAGGCACAAGGAGGTCGCGCAGCAACAAACAACCTTACCATTTTCAGCACGGGAATATGCATATGCGTAGTCACGGCGGCGGTGTTTTAAGCTTCCAAACTGTGGTTTCTGTCACAACAACTTGGTCGCGGATAGGAAACAAACTCTGCATTCTTGAAAAATTTACACTGCGCAACCAGGAAATCAACAAAGTTTACACAGGCAAAATCTCCAAACACATCCGCGCTTTTCTTTACACACGGGAACATTGGTTAAGAGTGCAATGCGGGCATATCTTTGACCTGACACCTGTGCAATCACCAAAACCCAAGATCACATATCCTTCCCGCACTGCGAGTTCGTTAATGACCGTCGTGACGCTGCATTCGTTCATGATACACAAAATGCTGTACAAGTCGACATACCCAACGAAAGAAAAAAAACTTTGTTACTTCATGTAACGCACTGGTGACGCGTCAGCACCACGAAGTGCCGGCCCCTTTATCAGATACCAGAGAAAGCGGAAGCAATAACCATGTGGTAAAAATGGACATGACATTCCGTGCTGACTTCCCTGCTTTCGTTCAAAAGGCAGAGATTCATAAATTCACATAGCATTGACGTAGTTTCGCTGCAAAAGAACGCACACACACCTTACAAGTAGGAATATCCAAAGAATTGATGACATAAGAGAAATCAGTCATAGACAGCTTATCACGCAAAATTTACTGTCCCTTAGTGTCGTGCTATTGTATTTACTCCCCTGGCACACAGGCCGCCGATTTACAGAGACAGGTACATGCAATTTAAGCAGGGCGACGCTAACTTTCCAGTATGCGAATAACATGGAAACAGTACGCGCGAGTCGGATTCCACGGTGCCGTCCGCACTTGAATTTTGCTGGACCTTTAAGCCCATCCGAAGCGCTGAGTACTCTAAAGCAATCCATTTGGCTATCATATTCATACACCAATAATGACGTCACAGCAACAGGATCACACGTCCCTTAGAAAGCAAGGCTGGCGCCACAGCCTGAGTTCGTACGTGGCAGGTGGCCCAGCCGTATCCACTGAGGACCTCCGCGAGAACCTCCGCGATGTCCCCGGACAGGGCGAGCCGGCGGTCCTCTACACGCACTTGCTCCAGCTGAATCCTCCGCAGGCGTATGTGACAATGCCGTACAGGATCAGCTGCAACGATGATGTACGTGAAAGCTGAAACCCCTCACAGGCGTACGTGACGGTACCATACAAACAGTCGGGGAGGGACACTCTTGTTCATAGTGAGGAGGGGGGAGGCGAGGGAAAATGTCTCCCAAAACTAGTGGTGCTTTGATTTTTGTTTTCTTCTGTGACACCATGCTCATTTAAGACCCAAAGCTCTCCCGTGAGGGCATTGTGTGTGATAACAGCGCCCACCCAAAAAATTGACGCAAGGCTCTATACGTGTACCAGGTTACATGCAATACAGAACGCATGACAACTCTGAACCGCAAGCGGCGGGGAGCGGCAGGGGCGTGACAACTTATGACTCAGGGAAGTCTAGACTGAGAGCTATAAGCTGCGGGTTCGCGCCAAATGCTCAATGTTCCGGGGTTTGTGTGGGACCGGCCGCGGCGCCGTGAAGCTCACGCGATCGGCGTGGCTGGTTACGACGGCAATCTTCATATCAGTCGCGTGCGTCGCCAAATAACCCTATCCCATCTATATCGCCATACCGGCCACCCCGAACCGTTGGCAGACCTGCGCAACGATAGCACGCATAGAAGGAGCTGTGATGTCGATAAGCTGATCAGCACGTGGCAATCCAACCAACCTCAACAGCTACCTTTGGAAACAATCGAACCAACCGAACAAGGCACGTTAATGCTTGACAATGACAAATGGCACAACCGCTACTTACCAAGCATACCAGAGTACAGATGACAATGATTTTCACATTCTTCCACCACATAGCTCTGGCGAGGCTGCGGCTTGTGGAACGAAAGCTGACACTCTGAAAAAAACACGCAACAGTGGTGGCATTTCAGTCAACCATGCTTGTCATGCGTGCAGACTTCAGCTCACTGCTCTACTTTCGTCTTCGCGTGGTAGTTCGTGATGATCAGAATCTTACTAAAGCATCATTTCATCCCGACCATGTGCATGGCATGAACGAGGGTGTCAATCTCAGGACACTCCCTATCTTTCAAGATCGGGTAGTGCTGAGAAGATTTAAAAAGACAATATTTTAAACATTGTTAAAAGCCGCACATATCACGACATAAACACACCAAAAAAGCTGTAAAGGTGCATGCTAGGTGGGACGAATTAATGGTGAAAACAACCTGACATGAAAACAAGGTGATGTAGAAAATGTGACGCGCTAGCAAGTCTGACTTGGAAATTAAGTGCAGTTTACAGCCGTCTTTTTAAGACTTAAACCCCTCTGGTTTCTGGGCTTGACGCCAGAGAACCTGTGCGGACTATTTCGCGCAGAAGATTTAGATTGGACCTTGTCGTCATTGGGGCTTTACGACGCACTCAGCTGCTGAGGCTATATGGCGTCGCCTGCCTCTCAACCCGGCGGGAGAACCCCGCACCCCGCACCCCAGTTTGAACCCCGCACCTCTGGTCTCCCAGACGCGCAGCGATTAACGCAGACGCGTTTATCACTACACTATCGGCACCCCTTCAATTGATTCTCAACCAATGAAATCCGCCCAGTACAGGTTTTAAGCAGGGATCACATTTTGTGCTAAATAATACGGGAAATTGAAAACTGCAACGGGTTATGAGGGAAATCAGACTGTGAATCAAACAGCTAAGTGTGGCGTCCTAGCCAAGTATGTCAATGCAAGCAAACACGATAAAACCACAGGTAAATATGCAACACACCATGAGAAAGGGTAATAACCATTCAAACATCACAACTTTTGGCTTTTGCAAGAAGCAGACTGATAAACACGATGCCTCTTAGCAGGTTAAAGTAATACAAGTGAATCAGCTCGCCCACTGCGATGGCATTTTCGCCACGCTCATGTCTACAGTCGTTCCATGAATCAATCAAATGATGATGTGTTGAAGAGCATATTTACTTAATAGTCAAATTGTGTTGTCTAGAGCAGTCTTTTGCCCTTAAGAACATAACAATAGTTACATGTGAGCTTACTTGATCTTACCTGGATGCTTGAGTCAACATCTTTAATGATGGAACATTCCCTTAAAGGCCAACAATTCGCAAGATTCTTGCGGCCAAAACTTCCAACAATTTGCAAGATTCTTGCAGCCAAAACTTCAAATCAGGAGATACAAAATCATTTGATCACAATCATGACACACCAAATTGTCCAAAGCAAAAAAGAGACAGAGATTTTGTTATGGTCAATCACCTAATCAGTGAAACCTACTTCAAAAGAGTGTGTGCCACCAACAGAAGAGGGTGGGTCAACGAGCTATATTTCAGTCTTTTATGGTAAAAGGAAAGCAAGACCAAATATGCATCCACTCTGTAAATCTTACATTGGCGCTGAGGTTTTCTGTCTTGCTGACAAGCAGCTCCAATCTCTCCCCACGTGAGGCGATGCTATCTGGAAGGCAAAGCCATTTGACATGTTAGCAATCAGACCCCTACATACTGATTTAACTTTGTCCTTCCAGAGCTTCTTCAACACAATTCATACATGATGTCATTTGATAAAATCGCAGACACTTCATGCAGATTGATAGTAATAGAGTACAAATGGATCTCCTCATGACTAGATATACATCTGTCACATTCATTGCAGACAGTAAATAAACAAACACATCATGAGCTTACAATTTGTTGATTATGCATACTGCCAGAACATCACATTCAGAACTCACCTATATTCTGCACCATAATCTCCTTAAGCTCATCCAGCTCATTTTGTGCTTTGGCAAGTGTGTTTTTGGATTCTGAGAACCGCCTCTGAAAGATATATTTTGTGAGATACACTGGTATGTTATGCCTACAGTTCTGCAGCAGGCATCACATCTGATAGCATGAAAACAGGATGGTAGCAATTGTCTGCCATCAGTGAATAGATGCCTTTAGGTTTGACTCCTCCTTTCTTCACTGCCAACTTGAAATTATTCCAGTATGCCTGTATCTCACAAAGTTGCAAAATACACCAATGTAGGGCACCTGCATGATTTTTTCCTCCAATTAGCACACAAATGCAGCATGAAACATATGATATGAGGACAGACTTAAAGTCAAATTTAACAAAGCAGACACCTGCATGATTTTTTCTCTAATTAGCACACAAATGCAGCACAAAATATGTGATATGGGGACAGACTTAAAGTCAAATCTAACAAAGCAGATATTCAGTTAAGCAAAACTACTCCTCAGTCACACTGTTCCAACCCAAACATGCACAAACTCACCATTTCACTGGCCATGAGAGGAGAAAATTCACTGTTCATGGCATAGGGGAGAGCTGAGTGGAGCCGATACCCATAAACTGTAGTGAAGCGTTTCTTCAGCTCAAGAAGAAATCCAAAGGCTCTCGAGCGCTCAAATGCCTGCAAGAGCAGAACAAATTCTTTCTCTGACCAACTTAGAACAGCTGCTTATAAAAGGTACATCTGTAAGCTTCAGATAATGACTGCAAGAAGGAGATCATTTCCTAGATCCATGCATTTGTGGCAACCACCTCACACAGTCCCAGCTCCTTATAACATAAAATGCTCAAACAAACAAATGCATTTTGAGACAAACAATTAATTAATTGTACAGGTAGCTGCTAGACAACCTTCACTAACACTTGATCCAGCAACCAACATTAAAGAAGGTTTACCAGATACTCAACAATATGACACACAATATGACTCCCACATGCATGCTCTGAAAATGATAAAGTGTCATGCCCTGATTGCCACAAATAGATACACTACCAGATTCATTACAATAGGAACCATTCCACATGCTTCCAACCAACAAACCAGGCCATGAGTACCTACATAGAAAATGAGAGAGCAACAACCTAGGATGACTACCAATCCCCAAGTGGGAACACTTTCACTGGTGACAAATCAAGTATAAATGAAGCATCAATGTATGGTGATCAACCTATCATCTGCTGCTGTTAAGTGTTAGACCCACCTTCAATGTTCTTGGCTGTTTTCTGTTTGATGTTAATATCAATGAAGGCATTACACATCCTTATTTGACTTACATTATGTTTGGAATTGGCAATGAGTGCGGTAAACAAGCTGCCTGAAGGTATAGCTGCTACCAGTAATGTTTATACAAACCTGATAATGGTTAGATGCCTGGCAAATATGCATGTCATCTGACTGCATGCTGGGCTACAGCTACCAAACATGACAAATGCATCAGTATCATATCAAACCATACACAAACTGAGCTTGCAGTGCATACTGAAAACTCCATACCTTTACAAAAACAAACTTTGATATAATGGCCTTTTTATAACATTACCAACACTAGTATTAGGCATCAAACAGCTTGATGTGACCCAAAACACCCTACCTAAGTATTAATTACCACATGGACATCTATACACACCCACTGACACCCAACACACACTCATGCCACTCCTAAAAATAATCATCAAATGCCTAAAGCAACAGTGTATAATAGTGTGGGGAGGACATTGTAATTTTATTTATCTGTGAGTTATTTCCTTTTAGCATCATACATTTTCTGAGCATAGCAATGTGTTTCATCAAGTTCAACTATCTATTCTTCAACAGCCAATTTCATTTATCATGTTCTTCAAGGAAAAATGTCAATTGCCTCTCCATGTGCACCATACTACAGGTCAGCAATGGGCAAGACACACTTCATGAGGTGCTCAGGAAAGGGTGAGTTATGTTATTTGTGCATCTTCCACAATTATATGGGAAACTTTATGCCCTTTAAATTGTGTAACCTACTTTGTTATGACCTTTTAACCTCCATTGGGTATATCATGAAATCTAGTGTTCAATGTAAAACACTACATATTGCCCATGTGGCTTCTTGAAATGCATGTATAACATAAAAATATGAATAACAACATATGATGCCAGGAGGGAAAGTACCAAAGCTTTGAAAATGCATACCTATTTGAATATACTCACATCATCAGTAATGCACAAGTAGATGACTCCAGCATCTGTCACATAGTGAAACAAGTAGTCTCCATGGGCATATGTCATTCTTGAGTCTTGAAGACCAATCTTTGGAAGGATCAGTCCAACCACGTCCATAAAATTCCCTGGACATGTTGCACATTTCGCCAGGATCGTGGTCCCTCTCGAAATGACGCTGAATAGCAAAGGCATGGCAAAAACTTGGAATCTCGGACTTACAGGTCCTGAGCAGATTCAGTTCTGACACAACTGTTGTTGGCAATGGGAAAGATAATGGAATTAGATCACCCTTCGCTCCGACGATCCAACCTCAATCCGTGTCTCCAACACCACACAAAACATCTAGGAACTCGTTATAAGGCCTCGCATAACACCGTAATCCCAACCCCATTCAGACTCTTCAGTCAGATCCCCCGGTATCACTCAAACGCTGCTCAAACGCCGTCCGCTAAAATCTTTCAACGAATGAAAGGCAAGAAAGCATCATTTAGCCTTGCGTTGATTGGTTACTGGTAGCCGAGGAGAATATTTCGTGATGCTCGACTAGCTGAACTAGACAGAGCGCAACGATGTTGGCAGTAATGGCGTATAAAATACAAACAGTGGAGGTCCCACCAAGTAGGTTCAGATGTGCCTAGTATCTCTTAGGACTCAAAATGTATAGTGGGAAGATGTGATACCTTAGCTGATTTAAGTATTAACAAGCTCCATCTATATTTAAAACTAAAGCAAAGAATAAAAGCAATCTGTATTAACGTAAACATTCCTGTGACGTCACGATTTCCAGCTTTCCTACCGATCACACTATTGCCGCTTTTACACGGTATTCAATTGGTGGAAATCTGTTAGGGTATGCTATTTTAAGAACAGCTTGAGCAAGGTGCCACCATCTAGCGCCGCGTCCGCCATTGAAAGGTGGAGCGCCGCGGGGTGCGTGCGCGTGGGCCACGTGGAGTACGGATTTAGGGTAAAGGTAATATTTCATCATCGGGGCCGTTTTCTCGCACTGTGCACAGCTGACCTGTACGTCGGTTTATGGGTAGGTTACAACGGTGTTCGAAATGTCGCCAACATTTGTAGAAATGGCAACGGTCGATGCGGCGTTGCTTTTCAGGAAATATTCTGTTTTTTTGCGTCGGTCTGGGGGTGCTCCGTATTCTGAGTACTGAAGTGGTATTCCGCCAAACGCGTGCCAGTATCTGCCTGGAGGGTACAGCATAAGTGATGAAACCTGGACGCTCACTAGTATTCGGATTTGGTGTAGTTTTGTGGCTCACCGGACATAATGCTCATCTCTCCTGGCATATGCTAACCGATTGTGTGTCTCAAGGTGAGAACCGTCTGCAGCGTGTAGGAGCTTGCTTTCAGTTTCCTTTTGAAAAATTCGAGCCAAAAATCACCTCGGGTTGAGACTCAATTTGATCATTTGTGTAGCATTTGAAAGCAAGTTCAATTTGATCTCCCCAGTCAGACAGGTTTGACCACTTCAAATCGATGGTGGCTAAACTTTGCAGTTTTGGAAACATTCTGGATTTTCAGTTGGCAGTGGTTTTTGTGGTTCCAGCACCACCATGGTGCAGCAAATGACCTATCACGCTGTGAAGAAGCAGCACTAATTTCTTTGCATTTGCCTCAAAAAGGTTAAGAGAAGATGAAATGCATTGGTGGTTTTTGGGGAGCATGAAAAAAGAGGAAATAATTTGTTGATGGTCATGCAACTATCTAATTTGCTGAGACCAGTACCATGGGATATGTTCTTGAAAGTGGATGTAAGGATGACGCCTAGGGTCCTCTTAACATTTTCAGCTTGATGGGTACAATGATTGAACATGAACATCATGTAAAGAGAAACTGCATGACCAGAGTTGGACATCTTTTTGGCAGTTATATAGAGCATGGTAGAAGTCATCTTATTGGCTTTGTAGCCAAATCTGAACCTGGGACAATAGTGTGAAGCTAGAGCAAAAGCTTGAGACTGAAAAATTGGTTTACACATTGCCCATTATGTGAAACATGACAGTTTTCATAGTTTTTGATGATATATTGTTATTGGGACACAGATGGGATAGCAATTTATCTTGGAGGCAGCTTTTGAATATTTGAAGACAGGAATTCTGTAATGGTGGCAGTTTATTTTATTAGGGGTTGCCTCTGGCACTCTGAGACAAGCATTAAACTGAGGCAGAGATTAAGGGGAATCACAAAACAAGCTGCATTGTGTAATAAAGGAAGGGGTAATAATCAATGGTAACCAAGGCAACCAATGAACCCATTGCACTCCATTTGTTTCTACTACATCATAACTGCCTTAATTACTGTGATATCCTGTCTGTGCCTGCATGTGGGCACTTCCACAACCTCCATGGCCAGATATCCACCATTTATATAGAAGTTTTAAACACACACATTGTGCCATAGCAAGGCATGTGCTCACAGCAGCTTCTGCTGTCCTTGCTGAACAGGTGAACCAGTCTCATTTACCCGCATGCTGGACATACCAGTAGCAGGTTGACAACTTTGAAGCTGTGATCTCTGGTGTTCAGTCCGTTTTTGATGTCTTTAGGTTTGTTTGGTGACCAAAATGCAACTCAAAAGATTGTATAGTAAATCCAATGGAATTTTGCTCTTTTTTCAACATAGCAGTAGTAGTTTGTATGCAGCAGATGCAAATAATCTGGAATATCTTGGACACCATTCAGGGTTGGACCTGCCATGAACATCTTCTGGTCCACCACCTTTTGTGGACTGGATTATTGCTGGAAGTCGGAAGCCATTTGTTATTATGACTGGTGCCTGTTAATGTAAAGCACCATCACACATGTGAACGAGGATTCCGCCACTGAAGGTGCCAAGTTTCTGGTTGGCTCTCATTAAGTAAACCATGGCATGTGGCCATCCCTGCTGGGACTGCATGGATGCCGAGGGTTCTGTTGGGTTAATGCAAAAACCTTCATGATTTTGTTACCTTAGGCATGAATGTGTGCTCTGCCCTGCGTAAAGGCATGGTTTTGTTGTATTTCAGGCCCTGATGGCTGCAGCCTGAGCAGACTTGTGCATGATGGAAGATCAGGAACAGACAGATAGTGACCAGCTCCTACATGGAGCTCCTCTTGTTGTTGCATCAGATCATGGAGAGGTAATTGTTCTTCATGTGTGGCTCTACATGGGATTGTCCAGGGTGGCACACTCACATAAGTTTTAGATGCCTGTTTGAGGTGTCAATCTTTGGAGTGTGATACCCTCCTGTTTGCAGTTTGAAGCAAGTGGTGTGGTAGTTTCATTCTCCTGTCAAAGCAGATATGTAATTGGGATCTTATTTCATGGCTGCATTAAATTATCTACAGTCAGTGTGCTATTTTGCAATATGGTGTTGACTCTTGTTGACCTCATCTTAAATGCCACCTTTAGGCTGTTGGTGCGTGCTGAGCAGGTGTGGGTCCGTGGCCTGATCTGGGTGTTGATGTGTGCTGGGCTGATGTGAGTCTGCCTCCACCAGCTGATCTGGGTGTTAATGTGTGGTGAGCTGGTGTGGGTCTGCCGCTGCCAGCTGATCTGGGTGTTGATGTGTGCTAAGCTGGTGTGGGTCTGCTGCCACCAGCTGATTTGGGTGTTGATGTGTGCTGAGCTGGCGTGGGTCTGCTGCCACCAGCTGATCTGGGTGTTGATGTGTGCTGAGCTGGCATGGGTCTGCTGCCACCAGCTGATCTGGTTGTTGATGTGTGCTTAGCTGGTGGGGGTCTGCTGCCACCAGCTGATCTGGGTGTTGATGTGTACTGAGCTGGTGTGAGTCCGCTGCCACCAGCTGATCTGGGTGTTGATGTGTGCTGAGCTGGTGTGGGTCTGCTGCCAGCCAACTGATCTGGGTGTTGATGTGTGGTGTGTGCTGAGTCTGTTTCGCGTCTGCTGCTGCCAGCTGATCTGGGTGTTGATGTGTGCTGAGCCAGTGTGGGTCTGCTGCCACCAGCTGATCTGGTTGTTGATGTGTGCTGAGCTGGTGTGGGTCCACTGCCACCAGCTGATCTGGGTGTTGATGTGTGCTGAGCCGGTGTGGGTCTGCTGCCGCCAACTGATCTGGGTGTTGATGTGTGCTGAGCTGGTGTGGGTCCGCTGCCACCAGCTGATCTGGGTGTTGATGTGTGCTGAGCCAGTGTGGGTCCACTGCCCCCAGCTGATCTGGGTGTCGGAGGAGGATGGGCCAGGCCAGATGGTGGTGGTTGGTGCCGACGACGACGCTGCCGAGGCCTCGCAGCAGGCGCAGATCGTGGTGTTGGAGACGGGTGACGGCGAGCAGCAGGTGCAGCTGGTGACCAGCGATGGCGGCCAGCTGATCACCCTGCCACCAGAGGTGAGTCGACGGCAGGGCTGACTGGGAGCACAGTCAGGAGGCTGTCCCTGTAGGCACCGAGTGTTACGGCCTCGGGGGGCAGATGATCACTCTGCCGTCGGAGGTGAGTCGACGGCAGGGCTGACTGGGAGCACAGTCAGGAGGCTGTCTCTGGAGGCACCGAGTGTCACGGCCTCGGGGGGCAGATGATCACCCTGCCGTCGGAGGTGAGTCGACGGCAGGGCTGACTGGGAACACAGTCAGGAGGCTGTCCTTGGAGGTACCTGAGCCTCACAGCCTCAGGGGCCAGATGAGGGTGCCTTCCATGATAGTGATGCCCGAGTCAGGCTTGTGTGCTTTGTTTACAATGACAGGAAGCATCTTGATTGCGTAGTGGAGATGATGGTGGCATGACCAGTAGAATATTATTAACCCTTTGATTTGATTCCTCTGGGATTTAAGTGCTGATGTTTTGTGTAATGTTTTTGTATTCAGCTAAGTTGTGCCAAGACTTCCTCAAATATTAGTATCAAGCCTACATCATTTTTGAAGCAAGTTTATCGACCAATTGACAGTTGTGTAGCTGCTTGCCTATAGTTTCACAAGCACCGTAATGCTCGTGCAACCTGTTCTGCTCACCTGGTATGAAAGTTGTGTGGGAAAATTAGGGCCATTGGCTGCTGTCAAAGTTAATTGTCCTGAGCAACTAGTCATTGGAGGATGCTCCCTTTAGCTGTGATGGTTTTATCACGGGGCACATTGTAGATTGCATTCGCCCTGTTCCCACGGCTGGCGGTCGAGAGCTGTGAGCGGCATGTGACGGGCTCGGGCCTTGGCCGGCAGCTGGCCAGCCGTCTGAAGGAGGGCCTCTCGGACCTGACCTCGGACGACCTGGCCGGCGTGGAGCAGCTGATCGTCACCAGTGCCGACGACCCGGCCGAAGAAGACTCCATCCAACTGGGCCTGGCGCCCGACGCGGAGCCGTCGGCCGGCGACGGCGGCGGCGGAGCTCTGGACACGGACGAGGAGACCGTGGATGCCGAGGTTCGGGAGACGGATGAGGAGACCGAGGACGCCGGAGGTCGAGACACGGACCAAGAGATTGAGGACTCCGAGATGGGCGCTGTGGAGAGGTCCATGGAGGTTGCGAAGGAAGAACCTTTTGTAGCAGAAGATATTGACACAGTTCTTGAATCACAAGAACCTGATAGTGAGACAACTGAACAAAATGCTGGCAGCGAAGATTTGTCAGTGAATGTCGCTCTCGCTGGAAAAGATGCTGAGGACAGTGGTATGACTTGGACAGAGACCACAATGATCAGCGCATCAGGTGGGTTAGTTTTGTTATAATTGCTGACGTGTGTCTGCGGAAAGAATCCGGGAGTAATGGTAACAGTTTTCGATTGTATTGGAAATTTATTCTCTTTAACAGGTGTCTTGTGGTCCCATACACATGCATGCCATGAAGCACGTGCAGATGCGATGAAGATGTAGATCGGGATTTCGCACTCGAGCCTCAGCTTTTCGTAGGATATCTCCTCATGTGGTCGTCAGCTGTGGTCTTTTTACGTCTACATCTACATCTGACAATGGGCTTAAGGGAGTCAGAAATGAACCAGTACATACACTAGGACGGGAGAAGAAGGGAGACAGTTCAGCACTCGACTTAAAATAAGAAAGGAAGTAATAACACCGCTACGTAGCAAGTATAGCAACAATCGACATGGTGTGTTGCGCCATAAATACGGACGAATGTTCAGTTTTCCCCCTCTATTATCTTTGTAATCCCGTGACCCGCTCAGGCGAGAGCCGATTTGAAGCTGCTGTGTGTGAGCATCAACTGACCAGTGTCGCTGCGGTCCTCAGGTGCGCAGGTGAAGGTCCGCCTGCCGCAGGTCGCCGCCGAGAGCGGCCCGCCGCCGCAGCCCGGCAGCGTCCGCTTCCGCGTCGTCAGCGTCCGGGACCAGCAGCCGCCGGCGCCCCCTCGGCCGCCCGCGCCGGCGTCGCCGCCCACGCCGGACGTGTGGTCGACGCCGTCGCAGCGTCGCGCCTCGCGCCGCTGCGCCTCCCGCGGCATCGCGCGCGCCGTGGCCGCGCTCAAGCGCGCCGAGGGCAGCGACGAGTTCGACAGCGACGACGACTGGTCGCCGGCCGCGCCGCCGCCGCCGCCACCGGCAGCGCTGCCGCCACCGCCGGCAGCGCTGCCGAAGCGAGGCCGCGGCCGGCCGCGCAAAGTGGGCACGTTCGCCTGTCAGCTGTGCCCCGGACGGCTGGCCACGCAGGCTGCCTTCTTCCAACACTTGCGCGAACACTACGACCAGCCGCGCGGTGACGAGGCGTCGACGGAGGCGGAGGGCCTGTCGGCCGCCGACGGCCGGGCGGTCACCGAGGAGGCCGCCGGCTACGACGGCGCCACCGAGCTCAACGTCGACATCATCGCCAGCAAAACGCCGCAGATTGCGTGCGACCGGTGCGAACGTTACTTCTTCTCGGAGGTAGAGCTCGAGCGGCACGGCAAGGTGCACCTGCGCAATGCGACGGCAGCCCGAAGCAAGGCGGACGCGGAGTGCGGGACCCCCGCGAAAGAGTGTCCGGAGCCGGCCACCGTCTCGAGGGTTGTGAAAAGCGAGATAGGACTTGTGGCGGGCGTCCAACTGGTGGAGCGATGCTGACGGAACGGCGGAGCACGTGCGGCCGGCAGACGGTGGCGACACGAGTCCCGGCAAGTATAACATGAAGAACCTGAAGAACTGCACGCAATGCGTCAAGATCTTCACCACGGTGTCGGCGCGAGCGAACCACGTGCAGCGTGTGCACGGCGGCGGCGGTGAGCCCATCTCGCAGACGAAGCGCGAGAAGGTCGAGTACGAGTGCAACGAGTGTCACGTCACGTACACCTCGCAGAAGATCTACGAGCGCCACCTGCTGCTGCACGAGAACCAGCGCGCGGGCCGGCGGCCGTACCGGTGCGACACGTGCAGCGCCTCGTTCATCACCACCATGCAGGTGAAGCACCACGCGCAGCGCGAGCACCCGGAGCTGTGTGCGAGCGGGGCACGGCGCGCCTCGAGCCGCCGCACCGGCCGCCCGGTCGGCTCGTCCGACAAACAGCGACAGGCGGTGTACGACCAGATCCGCGAGGGTGCCGGCGGCACGTTCTCGTGCTCCGTGTGCGGCAAGGAGGGCAAGACCAAGAACCACGTGTTTTATCACATCAGTATCAAGCATAAGGGTGAGTTTGCTGGACGGGAGGCGTGTGCATTGGCGATGGAAGTGCCCTGGTCAGCGTTTCTCGTGGCCCTTGGGTCCAGTCCTGCTTTTGGTAATAAGAAACATGATTTGCTTATTTATGGCGGATGGAACCGTCCACATGAAGGTGGATGTATTGAAGTGAAACTAGAGGTTTCAGATACATGTGCCTGGTGTTTTAGTGCTTCGAATTGTATGTACGCTCGCCCTGCGCGAAGGAGAGGCATTTCCAAATTGATGATGATTATCGGCTACACGTGTTTTGAATAGTCAGCAGCAGTCAGCAGCACCTGAGGCGTGGGTGTGACCCAAAGGCGCCCCGCCAGCGAGCCCGGCCTCGCGCCCGGCGCTGACCCGCCCCTCTGCCCGCCGGCAGCGCTGGAGGGCTACAAGTGCCAGGCGTGCGGCAAGTCGTTCTTCACGGAGGCGGCGCTGCGCGTGCACGACCGCACGCACACGGGCGAGCGGCCGTTCGGGTGCGAGTACTGCCTGCGCCGGTTCCGGCAGCAGGCAGACCTCACCTCCCACGTCATGTCCATCCACACCCGGCAGCGGTACGTGCGGCGGCCGCGGCAGCGACGGAGGGCAGCCCGTGCTTGTTGGTATTCATGTGTGCTTTGGTCAGAGCCTGCATGTGAATGAATTATGCACCTGCTGACATGTGTTGTGTGCTTGTTTTATAAGAATGTTTTCATTTTGTTATTCATCCCATCAGTGTGATCAGTGTCATCAGTGGCATCCCATCATCAGGCTTTTTATGTGATGCTACTTTTCCACTCATTCACTTTCATTCAGATATAGCATGGGTCATTGCTCTATAACCACTGTCTCTCTGCATTGTAACCACCTGGCTGTCTGCACTGAAACCACAGTCTCTGTACTTTGACTGCTGTCTGTCTGCACTGTGACCATGGGCTGTCTGTACTCTTACTAATGGCTGTCTGCCCTGTTACCACTGGCTGGCTGCCCTGTTGCCACTGGTTGTCATGTTACTGTTGTCTGTCTGCCCTGTTACCACTGGCTGTCCACCCTGTTACCGCTGCATGTCCGCCTGTTACCACTGGCTGTTTGCACTGTTACCACTGGCTGTCTGCACTGTTGCCAGTGGCTAACTGTCCTGTTGCCATTGTCTGTCTGCCCTGTTACCACTGGCTGTGTGCCCTGTCACCACTGGCTGTATGCCCTGTTATCACTGTCTGTCTGCCCTGCTACCACTGGCTGTCTGCATGCACACAGTGGCACAGCAGCTGATGACTTCACATACCTGGGTACGTGCCGCGTGGCGCCCATCTGACGTGCGCCCGTCTTCACGCAGGCCGTTCCGGTGTCGGTTCTGCACCAAGTCTTTCTCTCGCAAGTATTCCATGACCGTTCACATGCGCTGCCACACGAACGAGCGCAACTACAAGTGTCCCGTGTGTAAAAAGGGCTTCCGGGCTTCCACATACCTCACCGGCCATATGAAGATTCATACAGGTGAGAACATAGCGTTTGCTCAACAGTAAGATTGGTAACACGCTAATTTTTGGAATGCGAAGTTGTGTTGCATATTCATCACAATGTCACACCTTGTTTTTTTTAAAGCTGGAGCACGTATTTTAAATTGCGACTCGTGCATGTCAAGGTATTGTGCAATGATTTTTGGAAGTTACGTAATATTCCAAATTGAGTAGGTACCAGTATTAAATGTGTGCCATTCATCTCAAACTCCCTTGCCGTTGGGTAGATAATCTCCTGGGTAGCTCATGTGATTGTTCGGACCACCGTTGACGGCGGCGGCCGGCGCGCGCGGCTCGTCTGCCGTCCGCTGACTCCTCCCCCCGCGCTGCGGCAGGCGAGCGGTCGCATTCGTGCCCCATCTGCCACAAGACGTTCCGCATGCGTTCGGACATGAAGCGGCACATTTTCACGCACTCGCGCGACCGGCCGCACCAGCGCTCGCTGCGTGCGCTCACCGTGTCGGCCGGGGGCGAGGGCGAGGTCATGCTGCTCAACAGCGCCGACCTGAGCAACCTGCAGGTGAGGCGGCGGCCGCGTGCCCGGTCCCAGCCGGACGGGCGCGGCGGCGCGAGGGAGACAGGCACCGGGGACGTCCGAAGCTCAGACAGCGGCCACTGCTCGTTGGGCGCGCGTTGGTGGCTCGGGGAGGGAGTCAGTAGTGGGGGGAATCATGGATGGAGGGAATTAGTAGTGGAGGGAATCATGAAATCGTGCTTTCGCGTGCATCCTTTGAAACAAGTGCCAGGCCTCATGTGCACATGCTTTGGTCGACTGCTTCATTTTGTTCATGGACGTCCTCTTAACAGCATGATTTATTACATTTTCGAGTCACCAGGCACTGCTGAACTTGATTGGCTCTTTTCCGAGCCTGTCTGTGCCCCACATAGCGCTCTGACAGCCCCGTCGTTGGAGGGCGAGCGGTTGTGCCTGGGCTGGGCGGTGTGCCGCACGCCCTTCTCTCACACTGGGGCATGCCGCCGGCAGTTCGTCACCGACGAGGACGGCAAGGCGATGGTGATCGGCGACGGCGACCAGATGGTGCTGGACGAGTCGCAGACCGTCATCGACGAGCAGACCGGGCAAATCATGGTGGGTCAAACCGCCGAGCTCCACACCGGCGAGCGCTATATGGACGGGGGATACTGAGTCACCGCGCCGCGCTCTGACCAGGGCTGGGCAGGAGCGGGGCCGCCATATCTGATGGGCAGAGCAATGGAACGTAGCGTGAAGGGTTCTAGCCCGACGGAAAATAAACTGTGAGCCAAATGTATAGGTTTGCTCATCATGCTGTACCAGTAAAGTTAGGTTCTAGTAAAGGTAGTAAAGTTTTGACTGTTACACGACCCTTTTTCGGAGGCGAGTACGTGGTAGGTGTGCTAACGGACATACAGCATTCTAGGCCGCAAGCTGCAGTTGAAAAAATGCACGAACTTGTAATGCTCTGTTGTTGGACATTTGTCGTGGTTGGATATTCTTTCCTGTGGTAGCAAAGTTTTTGGTTGGTCCTAGTGGGAATAAAATTGGCAAAAATTTATGGGTAAAACCCCTTCGGTCCGCTTTGTGCACGTTCATCTCAAAAGAAGTAAAGTGGAGTCCTTAAGAACGGTGCCAAGTATGCCATGTCCTCCTGCCAATGGTCAACAGGATTCCGCGTGATTGTCACTGATTTTGACCTCACCAAACGTCGCAGCTGCCTTCCTTTATAGAGATTGTCCGGTTGCGTGATAGATGATTGCAGCTCAAGGTGTAAGGAGGCAGATGTTTTAAGAACTTTCAAGGCCTACGGCTGTGATTGCACATGCATGTTGAGCGGCCGTTAGATGGAATTGTTCGTTCGGTGCCGTGGCGATCGTTCCAGTTAATCTCAGCTGGCAGCGGCACGCAAGGCTGGCACGTGCCTCACGCTGTTATCCACTGAAACGGGGCTAATATAATCGTAATCGCCAACTGTAGTAACGTGATAATTGCAAAGCCTTCGCATTTAACGCTTATGCCCCACATAGCTAGAAAGTGCGCCGGCACATGTACCACACCGTCTCTGCCTGGCGGAGGCAGCGCCACGTTACAATACGGTGCTGGTAGTTGACCTGTGGCTGCTCGCGTCGCCCAGGTGCCGGAGAGTGCGATCGTCGAGTACGACGAGAGCGCCATGGCGTCCATGTACCTGATGGCAGACACGGACGCGGAGCCGCTGGCCCTGGCCTGACCTGGCCCGGGGCGCGGCCGCCCCAGGGCATGACCGGCGCCGCCATCCGCGGCCGCGCTCGGCTCTCCTCGCCGGGCTGCAGTGGCTCCAACGCAATATATGCATGTATTTATTGTGTGAAGCCGTGCCTCATTGCTGCGCCTGCGCGGCTCCGATGAGATCATGTGATGGTGCGCTCGAAATAGTCGTCTTCGAGCTGGCTTTAATACAGGTTCATGAGGCTTGCGGGCAGTTTTCTTGGAGAGTTGTGGTCGACGTGCGACCAACTGCAGCGTCATTAATCTTCATCACTTATGTACCATCGTCATCGTAAACGACCACTACCTGACCCCTCGGCCCAACGCGTCTCACTTGTGTTCCCCCCGCATCACACACGGCACTTCGGTTGACCAACATTTCGGCTATGCCCCCCCCCCCCCCCCGCTACTTCCGGCGGCGGCGCGGCCGGACGTAGGGTGGACACGGGGCGGCGGTAATCAGGCCAGCCCGATCCCGTCACGGCCGTCCCGACACGCGAGCCCGGTCGGTCGATTGACCCAGAGGCGGCCCGGCGCACCGCCCGGCACGGTCGCTAGGCGACGGCCGCCAACAGTCGGGTAGCGCCGGCGGCGGCGGGTCCGATCACACGGGGCCGCAATGTCGAAACGGGAGGCGGACCTGTCCGAGTTCGAGCGGCTCACGGCCGACCTGGACAGTGAACTTCACTACAGGTGAGGCCTGAGCTGGGCAGTGTGCAGCACTACAGGTGAGGGCTATGTCAGCGGGCGTCAGTACAGGTGAGGCCCGAGCCGGGCAGTGTGCAGCACTACAGGTGAGGGCTAGGACGGCGGGTGTCAGTACAGGTAGGGCCTGGACTGGACAGTGGGCTGCAGTACAGGTGAGGCCTGAGTTGGGCAGTGTGCGGCACTACAGGTGAGGGCTAGGACGGCGGGCGTCAGTACAGGTGAGGCCTGGACTGGCAGCGGGCTGCAGTGCAGGTGAGGCCTGAGGTGGGCACTGTGCGGCACTACAGGTGATAACTGGGCTGGACAGTGGGCTGCAGAACAGGCGAGGACGGGACAACAGGCGGCAGTACTGGGTGAGAGCTGGGACAACAGGCGGCGGTACGGGTGAGGGCTGCGGCAACAGGCGGCAGTGCGGGTGAGGGCTGCGACAACAGGCGGCAGTACGGATGAGGGCTTAGACAACAGGCGGCAGTACGGGTGAGGGCTGGGACAACAGGCGGCAGTACGGATGAGGGCTAGGACAACAGGCGGCAGTACGGGTGAGGGCTGGGACAACAGGCGGCAGTACGGGTGGGCTGGGACAGCAGCGGCAGTACGGGTGAGGGCTGGGACAGCAGGCGGCAGTACGGGTGAGGGCTGGGACAACAGGCGGCGGTACGGGTGAGGGCTGGGACAACAGGCGGCAGTACGGGTGAGGGCTGGACAACAGGCGGCGTACGGATACCAACAGGCGGCAGTACGGGTGAGGGCTGGGACAGCAAGCGGCGGCACGGATGAGGGCTGTGACAACAGGCGGCAATACGGGTGAGGGCTGGGACAACAGGCGGCGGTACGGGTGAGGGCTGAACTGGGCGGCGGGTGGGAGCGGCGGTGCTGTATAAGTGAGGGTTGAGTTGCTGAAAACTGACCTAGACAATAAGCTGCAACGCAGATGGGGATAAAACTGTCGATGAAAAGAAGTGTGAGTGAAAACTATTAGGTAAAAACCCAAGCTGAACAGAAAGCTGCAGTCAAGGTGACGACTGAGCTGGATAGTAAGCCGCAGTGCATGCATAAAATGTACAGGTGAAGGCCACCTGATCAGCTCGTCGCAGTGTAAGCGATGGCTGACTGCAGGCGTGGTGAGAACTGACGTCGGCTGACTGCAGGCGTGGTGAGAACTGACGTCGGCTGACTGCAGGCCTGGTGCGAACTGACGTCGGCTGACAGTGCGTGGGATTTAGGTGGTGCCGGTGGCCGTGTTTGTGCTACCAGAACCATCCGCTCCTGACCTGTTTCAATCTAACGGGTACGTCGCGAAATTCTCGCATAACTTTTGCGTGAAAGAAACCACGTTTGACATTTGGCTCTCCATACATCAGCAATCGTTTTAAAACGGAAATGCAAGTTTTTGATGGCTAGTAAGTGACACTGGCAAGGCAAACTGTAAAAAATCGCGAATCTGGCGTCTGTTACCAACATGTTTTTGGAAAAGAATATTGCTGGCTATTCGCTAGTTGACTATTGCCCGTATCCCGACAAGCGGATTCCGATTCCGATCCCGCAGTGCTGAACAGTACACCAGTCAATGCCGTTGACGAACAGTACCAGCGCTAGGTGGTCCAGAGATCATCACTCTCCAGAGCAGCAGACCCGTGCTGCGACGTCGTCATTTTCGTCTTCATACCATGCTGGCGGCTATATGGAGCCGCGCCACAGGCGGGACGTGTAAGCGGAACACTCTTCGAACATAGCTCCGAGGGGGTGCTACACCCGCGAGAAGGGGGCAGCAACGGGGGTTGGATGTAATGACAGACATGGCTGACTGTGATGACAGAGGTGACTGGATGTGATGACAGAGGTGGCTGGGTGTGATGACAGCTTGGTGGAGCTACCTTTGCTGTCGCATCCAGTCACCGTTGGTGCCCCCCTTCTCGCAAGGGTAGCACCCCCTCTCAACCCTCTTCGAAGAGTGTTCCGCCTCCATGTCCCGCCTATGATGGCTCCACATAGTTGCCAGCGTGGTATGAAGACGAAGGTGACGACGTCGCAGCACAGGTCTGCTGCTCTGGAGAATGACAGCCTTTAGAGCAGCTAGAGCCAGTGCTCTTCGTCGACGACTAGGACTGGCGTGGTGTTCAGCGTACGGCGCCGCGGCATCATCGCCATGGGAGTCCGCTCGTCGGGGCGCGGAGATGCATGCAGCCAAGCGCTGGGCTCAGGTGCAGTACCGGTGGCCACAGCTGAACCTCAGGACGGATGAGGGCTGCTGTGGTGCTGCACAGCTGCATGCAGCCAAGCGCTGGGCTCAGGTGCAGTACCGGTGGCCACAGCTGAACCTCAGGACGGATGAGGGCTGCTGTGGTGCTGCACAGCTGCATGCAGCCAAGCGCTGTGTTCAGGTGCAGTACGGGTGGCCACAGCTGAAGTTCAAGACGGATGAAGGCTGCTGTAATGCTGCGCAGGCGGCTAAATATAACCAGAGGGCTCGTCTGCCCGCTGTATCGATGTTCTACAAACTTGGTTATCGCACCCGATGTGACTTATGTCCCTGCCGTTGCAGTGACACGCTGGACTGGTCTAACGCCAGCCTGGAACAGTCGGTGGAAGACTTGCGAGAGAAGCTGCGTGCCTTGGATCGCGAGCAAATCCCCACCGATGATGGTATGACAGGGTCGCTGCCTAGCGTAATCGTGTTTAGCTGTAATGAACAGTGGACTTGGTATTAACTTTGTAAGCGCAGTTGTAATTTAAGTCGTGCTTACCAGCTGGAGTCATCACGGCAGTCGGAGAGATGCCATAAAATCTGCGGTGCATGCGAATCCGACGAAATCAGTGCTGATTAGTACCGTCCAGTGTGGTCCATTACTCTTGCCCTCCACTACCCGAGTGCGGGAGCGCAGCCAGAGCCTTGGCAAGGGGAGCACATGGTTGACAAAGGGCCCCTGAGAGGAAAGGCCCCCAAAACCATCGGATATGACCGATTTGTTATTGACGGCATGCTTTTTTCTTATATAATATAGTATTTAGATTTTTACATATATGATATATATATTTATATATATATATATATATATTACATGTTTGTCTTCTACAATTTGAATGTATGCCAGACGCTAACGCGAGATCAATCCTGCCTTCAGTTTACAGAAAATAAGGTAACAATCTCACGCGTTAAATGACTGCGTGAAATAAATCGCCGGCGATCTTCATTTAACAATGGTCCAGTGGACTCCTTTTAGACCGAAAGGACTCAGAAACATTGTCAATTTTTTCTGGATTGTGCAGAAATAGCAAAGATCCCGCAAAGGAAGACTGAGGACCAAAATGGGTTAACAATTTGTATTGACATGGCCAGGCCATCTTTGTCCAGATATCTTCAACATTCAGTCAGAATTGATTAGTGGTACAAGTTATGTAACGTAGTTTTGAGCACGCGCGCTCGCATACCTTCCAAACAAAAACCTCGATGCCAGGCGTTGCAGTCTCCCTAGGCCACACGTGGCTGGCCCTGCGGTTTACACTAGGCCGTGGCCAATAGGTAGGCGAAAATAGTGATGCATCTGAAAGAAGTACCTTCGAACACATTTGGACTCCAGGTCGTACATTTAGTGATATCTCGGGTATATATTTCACCTGTGCGGTTTTAGATTGATGACAATAACGTATTGGGTTTTACAATACTGCGGAGTGGTGCTGGAATATGGTTGCGGGACTGGAAGAGTAAGAGCGAAATTTTTTTCGTCGTAGTATTGTAACTGTTAATCTGTCTAGGGGGCATTCTCAATGTTGTAAAGATGATTTGCGCAGTGTGATCTTCGGACTGTACGAATTCATTTTAAAGAACATTCAGAAACATCATTTTACTATCGTCGATGTTGCACTATCGGCGCACACCCCTGGCGTTACTTGCAGCGGCCAACACCTTTCGGTTTTATAAAAACTACGACCCAAGTCATCGTTATCCTTGCTCCCCGAGATTAAAGGCGTGTGATTGGGGCTTTATAACGCACTCAGCTGCTAGGGCTATATGGCGCCGCCAGCCTCTCACCCCGGCAGGAAGGGAGGGGATGAGTCATATCACATTGGTCCACTCCCTGACGCGAGAGGCCTTCTGAACCGCGCAGCTGACCCCGGATGGACGCATGCACCGTCATTAACGCAGCAGCATCCTTGCTCACCGCAGGTAGTTAAATAATTGACACATAAAATCCTGTTGGACCTAACGGGCCCTGGTTGGTTGGGGGGGGGGGGGGGGGGGGGGCACTGTTCGGTACTGGGGGCTTTGGCTGGCACAGGACTCTTTTATTACCTCAATGTGAGCACTCATCAAACTTCTTGTTTCCTTCAACTGCCAGAGGGCCTCGATCGACGTGAGAGACCGTCTGCCATTTGGGGTCCCGCCCCTGTCCTGTTAAACAAATCTTCTCCTGACCGAATCCGATGACCTGACCTGATCGGAAGGACGACCTGACCGATTCGAGGCCCCTTGTTGACACGGAATGCCCTGTTCGGCACTGTGGGCCTCTGAACGATACAGGAGCCTGACCGATGTAAATCGCGGGCCTGGCCTTGCCCCTGCTTGAGAAATGGGCCTCCAGAGCTCAGACCAACACGGAGCTGACTGTTCGTTGTTCGTGATCTCTGGCCGAAAGAAAGGAACGCCCTGTCTCAGGGGTGCGAGAAATCATCTCACTGACATTTGAGATCACGGCCCTATGGGTGGGAGGTCCTTAATGTGACCTACAGCCAGCTCTTCGACCCTTCAGCCATCCCATCGGGCCCTTGATCTTTGGTCTCGAGGGACCCTTCAGCCCCCTTCAGGCCTCCTCAGACACCGTTCTGACTCGAGGTCACTCGCCGCCACAGGGCCCATGATCGGCACTGTGGCCCCCAACCAACACAGGAGCCTCTCATTGTGTCAGAGGCCTCAGATATTGCAAATCGCGGACCCCGGCCTCGTTTCTGTTTAAGAAAAGGGTCTCAAGGGCTCTGGCGGACATGGAGACGACTGTTCGGTGATTGTGATCTCTGACCGACTTGAACACCGCGCTGTCTCAGGGGAACCTAAAACGGTGCAAGAGAACCTCTGACTGATAGTTCAGGCCAGGACCCTCCTGACCGCGATTTTTTATGTGACCTACAGCTCTTCCTTCGGACCCTTATGTCCTCCAACAAGGCCTTTGATAGTCGGTTTCGGTAGGCCGACCGTTTCCGCTCTTCGGTCCTCATCAAATTCGACCCTCTCCGGTCCTCATTCGGTCCTGCCTTTTTAGCCAGTTGGGAAGTGGGTCCTCAGGTCCACACCGACACGGGGCCAACTATATGGTACGGTGAAAGCTGACCGACATATAGATCCGTATCAACTCAGGGGATCCCCAATCGACGCAAAGGACCGTTATTTGGGTGCCCGTATTCGCATGTCTGGGTCCCTGAATAAGACTCCGACCAACCCTTTAAGCCCTCATGCTCTCAAATCGGGCCCTTGATCGTCGGACCGTGTGGGTCCTCTAGACTCTTCGGGCCTGCTCGAATACTGCTTCTGGCTGACTCGAGGCCCTTTGACATCACAGAGCCCTTGTTAGGCGCTGTGGGGATCTGAGCAATGTAAATCGCTGGCTCCGGCTTTATCCGTGCCTGTGAAATGGGCCCTTAGTTCCATGTCGCCACGGAGCCGACTGTGTGTTACTGGTGGCGTCTGACCGAAATATAGGCCCCATTCGACTCAGTGGCCCCCTGGTCAACGCGTAGGATCCTCTGGCTGGCGTTTTAGTGCCGGGTCCGTGCGGGCCGGGTCCCCTAAATGAGACCTCCGGCTGGCTTTTCGGACCCTTAATAGTAGGTTTCGAGGGGTCCGAAGGGCCCCTCGGAACCTAAAAGGGGGGGGGGGCACTTGCCCCCTGTGTCCTCCTCTGCCTGCGCTGCCACCCGAGTGCCTCGTTTGCTGAGCATCAGTTGGGTACGGTGCCCGCCGAAGGGACAGCCCGTCGGAGACCGGACAATACGGGGGCCCATGCTGCGCCGTTCTGCCCCCCCCCCCCCCCCTCCTTCCCTCACGGGATACGTTAGGAGCGCCGATGCCGACACCGTGTCCGGCGGCCGCAGACGCTCAGGAGTGGAGGACGCGCTACGAGAGCCAGGTGGCGCTGAACGCCGAGCTGGAGCAGCAGAGGGCGGCGCTGGCGGAGCAGCAGAGCACCGTGCGCACCAACATCAAAGAAGGTCAACACGGCGACGGTACCGTAATGGGGCCGGGGGGCGTGTGCCGCGTGGCCTACTGGGCGTGCAGCTCGCTCGTCCGTGAAGTGGAGTCTGTGGTAGTATTTTTTACGCGGCGCCCTTCGCCGCGCTAGGCGACTTTTGCGGCACAAATCGCAGGCAGCACAAGAGCGCGCATGGACTTGGTGTGACCCCCACCGACCTTTGCGCATGAACAGCACCGCTGAATGGGAGTGCGGCACGACCGCATGGACCTTTCTGTGAGGGATGGTAAGCCCGTGTGTGGCTTTGGGACTAAGGCACTTCGCGTGCCAGTTGATATCTTGCCAGCGTGTGCATTGCAGATGAGAGGCTCACTGTCAGTGGCTGGAACACCACCGAAGACTGCTACAGCATTCGTTCTAATTGGTGTCGGGATAAGATGCTTTTAAACGCAAACATCGCCCAATAAGCTGCTGCCATCACCATACGTGCAAAGCACCAGCCGCTCCGCTGCTTCCAGTGTCGACGGCCAGACTACAGACGAGTAAAGCTTGCTTGCTCTGCAGCTTACTAAAGCACGCCACAAGCTGGCGCCGCTATCGATTCGTCTCACCGCGACCAAATGTGTTCCAGTGTACAAGATCGACATGATGTTCCCGGAGTACGAGAAATTCACGGAGACGGAGCTAATCAAGCTGACCAAACAGCTGGAGCGGCAGAAGCAGGACCTCATCTCTCAGCTGAAGAATGTCCAGTATCAGACTGATAAGGAGTCCAAGGTGAGAGCTTTGAGCCGATACTGGACAGATGGCTTCCGAAAGGGAAAGGGAGGAATCCATCGAGTCTTCAGGTAGTATCTGAGCAGTTGCGAGAGCCAAATGAAAATGTAATCGTATTACGCTTTAGCAACTATAATGTGAATTATATTACGCGTGTATATTATACTTTGCTTTTATAGTACATTATATGCATTTATTGTACTTCGCTTTTATAACATATTATGTGTTTATCATGCTAAGCTTTTATAGTGTGTTCAAGCGTGATGTATTTGTCTATTTGCATCAGGTGTTATCCATATCACATCAGCCGATGCTTGACCATTGAAGATGGCTACCTTAGAGCGTAACTTCGGGTGCAGCGGCTGAGTTCAGTAGACCCAGACGGATGTCACGGTTTCGCTCGCCCTGACCGCGGTGGCCGTTTCTGGAACGCTCTCTGACGGCCGGCCGATTCGGCAGGACTTCCACCACTTCGACGAGCTGCGGCGCACTTACAGGGCCGACATCGGCATCACGAACCGCGACCTGGACCACCTGCGCAGCGTGCGCCGCTTGGTGGAGAAGGATGGACCCGTGTCGCCTATCACCTCGCCCGGCACGCTGCGCTGGAAGTAAGCACCCGAGGCAGTCTCAGCGCCCTCTCGATCAGCTCTGATGGCGCTGCCATCAGCTGGGGACGGGCCGGTGTGGCAGTCTTGATCAGGCCGCAGTCAGCTGGGGACGGGCCGGTGTGAAGCAGTCTCGACCAGGCCGCGGTCAGCTCTGATGGCGCTGCGATCAGCTGGGGACGGGCCGGTGTGGCAGCCTCGACCAGGCCACGGTCAGATGGGAACGTCCATGTGTGTGATGGGGCGGTGAACCCGAGAACAAGAGCTACAGCTGTGGGGTATTGAAGGGTCATGCAAGTGGCACTGCAGTCTCTATTCTCTAGTTTATTTTATATTGCAAACACACAAAGTAAGTGCACGCACATTTATATTAAAAACACCTAAGGAAGTGCATGGGTGTCTCATGTGTCCAGGGGTTGCATGCCTCATGGCTGATGTGGCGCACCTTTCATCCAATCCTCGTACTAACTTGTCTGGGCCAAATTGGTTCATACCTAAACGGCACACGATACGATGCAACTCTACACCACATCATACGCTTCCATTCCATCCCTGTCAGTAGATTGTGCTCAAAAGTGGTGCTCGCTGCCGCAGCCCACCCTTACCTCGAGTGCGCAATCCACCATTCACCCGTAAACACTCTCTCTCCACTAACTCGTCTCCGTAAACTCTCGGTGTTCCAGCAACAAGGACGGCATCACGTCCAACCAGCGGATCCTGGACCCGCGGCGGGGCCCAGTCAACAAGGCGGCCGGCGTGCGTTCGTTGCCGCGTGTGGCGGACGGGCCCAAGGAGAGGCCGTCGCCGCAGGGCTCGGGCGGCCAGAAGGCGCCCGCCTTCGATGCGCTGCGCGATTCTCCCGACCGGCAGAAACGCAGTGGCAAGTCCAGCAGCCTGCCCAAGATGGCGGCCAAAAATGGGCGCAACGCGGCGGCGAAGGAGGCAGCCGGGAGCGAGAAGGGTGGGAGGAAGAAATAGAGAGGCGCTCTGCTGGTGGGACAAGAAAGAGCTGGGATGGCCCGTGGAGGTGAGCTGTAGATGGCGACTGGAAGTGGATAATCTTAAGTGATTACAGACTTGGGTGGGAAAAGACGTAATATATGGACTTGTGCAGGCCTTCATCGGTTGACTCAGGGTGGATGGAGAGAGTAAGAGTTTTCTCTGAATGCTTTAGGCCAAGACGCTATTGAGTCCGCACTGATATTAACAGTGGTTACGTTCAAAACGTGTTATCATTAGTTCGGTTGGTCAGTTCGACGCAAATAATGCAATGCGTGTGAACCTCGTGAATGCTTGAGCTAGAAGTAGTTGAAAAACCGACGTAGCAAAATGGCGCCACGCAGTGGGCTGGATATAAGTGTGACTATTACATTGTACGTGTCCTAGATTTCATTCATGGTGGGTTTAATTCATTCAGCAAGCCGTGGCAGGGGTGCAGTTTCATATTCAGCTGATGCGGTCCCAGCGCCCCCCATCAACGTCGAGAGGAAGAGGGCCGAATTCAGGGAACAACCCGCTTTTGGTGTGCTTTGAAGCAGGCTTATCCATTTCCATCGCTCAAAATTTACCAAATTATTTTATGAAACTAAAGCCCTGAGCGTCGGCTTCCACACCCCACTCACGGTATGTTCCGTGGATCGCGTCTTAAATGCATAGTAGTGCCGTATCTGCACCACCTCTGCAGGTAAAGGTACAACCTCTAGTTGCGGGTTCGCTTGATAGGTGGCGACCCAGTGCGGTGGCTGTGAAAGGGGGAGCGACAGACATGGTCACTGCATAGCTGGGTGAGTCGAAATCATGTGTAATAAAACTGCAAGGCAGGTAATCCGGTGTCATTTCGTGAACGGAACAAAGTATATCTGCAGCCTCTTTTGGCTTCGCCGGCGGCGATCTGTGTCTTCGCCTTGAATGGCGAGCGCCGGAGACGGACCGAGTTTTCGGAGATGGCGGTCGGAGATAAATAAATCAAATGTGACCGAATTCGTGCCTAACGGACTGCACTCGGAGACAAAGCCAGGCGGAACACGAACGGTTGACGTCGTGGAAGGCAGATGTGATTCTCTGGTGGGCTTCCAATCTTCGGCGACACTAGTCGGCGCAGGTTCACGCCCGTTCGCAGAAACGTGGTTGGGATTTCTGTAGGATCCCGTAGGACTTCTGTAGGATTCTGTCGGATCTTCCTAATCAGGAAGAGCACTTTTAACTTAAGGAGGGCGGAGAACTGAGATTTTATTTTGGGAGACAGCACATTCAGGCAAAATCGCAAAAAAATGCGAGGCATGTCCGAAAGTCAAAATGGGACGGCGTGTGTACCCTTGCCCCCCCCCCCCCTAGTTCTTAAAGACCCTGACCAGGGATTGATCCGAGGTAAAAGACAAGAGGTCAGCTGTTTGAGTGAGGCCTCTGTGAAGCAGCGTGAGGAGCAAAAATAATCGTGGTCCGCAAAAAATACCATGATCTCAACACTAGATCAATGGCGACAAGAACATGAGCAGAACCCGGAGGCATCAGACGGCCCCTAAAACCCCAGCGAGCCCAAGAGGATCAGAGGACCTCAGAAGCACCCCACGGCCCAATAAGCCTTGAGGCTACAGGACCACCGGAGGGTCACAAGAGGATCAAAAACGACGTGGGCCAAACAAACGCCGAGGTCGCGGCTAAATGTGAACTGTCACGTTATATTCCGTGGAAGCTTACACATAGTGCCCGCCCGCACTTGACCTGGCAATGACAGCAATACCTGGACCTAGCAGTACCAGCAGAACCTTGACCTATCGGTACCAGCAGTACCCTGACCGCTCAGCAGTACCTTGGCCTGGCAGTACCAGCAGAACCCTGACCTAGCGGTATCAGCAGAACACTGACTCATCAGTGCCAGCAGTACCCTGACCGCGTACGGTTCCTGTTCGCACTTGACCTAGCGAATGCCAACAGTGCCTGCACCTAGCAGTACCAGCAGAACCCTGACCTAGCGGTATCGGCAGAACACTGACTTATCAGTGCCAGCAGACCCTGACCGCGTATGGTTCCTGTCCGCACTTGACCTAGCAATGCCAACAGTACCTGCACCTAGCAGTACCAGCAGAACCCTGACCTTGCAGTACCAGCAGAACCCTGAACCTTGCAGTACCAGCAGAACCCTCACCTGTCAGTGTCAGAGGTACCTTAACTGCACATGGCGCCTGTCCGCACTTGACCTAACATACCTGGATCGAGAAATTCGAATTGTGATCGATGTATTTTATTGATACTGCTTACGAAAGGCTTATCTCCGTCATGTAGCTGGTGATGTCATCCACCAGGTTTTTTGTGTAAGACACGGCTCGATTTTTTTGGACGAGCTCGGGGCATCTTAGCACGCGTAATAAAAGGCGCGCATTTGTCACATTTTTTTACCGAGCTCTGTAAGCACTTGCAAAAGAGTCACATAAGTCGGGTGAGCATCGTTTCGCCTTGTATGCTGCGAACATTCGAGATGCTATCTTCTAGTTGAAGGAACAGATGCCGACAACGTACTAGGACTATCCTGGATGAATAGGTGCCGGCGGAGTTTGGCGGCGAGCGGCACGAGTACCAGCTTTTTTATCTCCAGCGCGAGTCAGCATGGACGTACCTGCAGTTTCAACATTGCCAGGATGAGCATTGTCCGATTCGAGTATCACCAGTCGTGGGCGGTAGGACCTCAAGGCAAGGCAGCGCGGCACCTCCGGTTTGACGCGCGCGCGTCGTATCGTACTGCTGGTTGAATGCTCAATCCTCCGGCGGATCCATCCCACAACTGTTGTTTTTGTTGCTGGCTGGGAAAACTCTGCTTTGGCCGACCCAGTGTATGGACCAGCTATGGCTGACGGTTACAAGACGGCGCCCAACAGCACGCCGGGCTGCTCATGGCCAGAATTGTCCATCGTCCCGGTCCAGAATTCTCACACACAGAAGCACCCTGAAAGGCGGTCTGTTCGACACGTGATCACTCGTACCTCAAGACTACCGACGGTCAGCCAACATGCTCCGATGGCCAAACAGTCGGTCGGCGGGCACAACATCCCGGCCCAAACAAAACACATATGAAATTTAAACAGACATCTCTGGACTAGGTTCACCATTCAGATTCAGGACTCAAACCACGCCGATGATCGTGTTACCTTCAGCGCTTGCATCAGGGTCTGACCTCGCGCCTGTCTGCTGCAGCAAGCTTGTGATGTCACTGGCTTGTCCTACAGGAGGAGAGAGACTGGCAGGTGGTGTCATTTTCTGTGTACTGCCTTAGGTGGACCTACGAGATCCGTAACAACTCGGGAGTTATTTCATATGCTCGGAACAGCACCTCTGCTTCCCCAGTAGGACGCTGTTTAATCCAACAAGCCGTTCGGGCTTTGCCTCTTTAGACATAGAAATGTGGCAATCAATTACATATGGTAAACATATTCGTTGGCATTCTTCAGCTCGCATTTAAGCTTCGCTTATTTGAGTCATTCATTTATTTGATCCATTTGATCTATTCACTGGACGTGAAAACTGTACTGCCGTATGCATGTGGGAGACTAAGTTCTTGATATTTTCTAGTGAGCATTGGAAATCCTGTGGTACACATTCAACAACAGAAAAGAATGCAGGGTCAGTATAACTGTTGGGCCTTGAATGAGAATCACATCCCATTCTAGGATTCTGTAGAGTGGAATGGTTCCACTTCGATCAAATAATGCACTCGCTGTTGCCTCTGCCCATGCATATGCATCTGCCATTTATGTTGTTACGGAGCTAAGGCATCGAACAGAGCTAAAAATAGGCTTCGATTGGGACGGTTACTTAACGACTGCAACGCCATGGATAATTATCGCGCCGGCGAGTACAGCGTTTGAGAGACACTAATGCCTCTTCTGAGGTATAAGTGCTGATTAATCTTGTAAGGAATAATCCGACGCTCGAGAAAGCCCGCTCTGGCCTTACGCTGGCTGGTTATGAAGAGCTGAATGCTTTGAAGAGCAGCAGAAAGTTGCCACTTTGATCGCCAGAGACTTTGAAAGCGTACAGTTGCTTTACCACGCCTTGGTGGCGATCGCCGACGTTGCGTCCGCCGCAGCGTAGCGCCGCTTGGTTGATGGACGCGCGCAACCCTCGCATCAAACCGGCTTCGCTTATTGCTGGCTGCCGCGATTCGGGTTCAGCTTCAGTCCCATCGCCTTGTGCCGTTCCGCTCGCGCTCCACGATGCTGCTAACCAGTGAAAGAGCATAATTTATTAAGGCGTGAAAGAGCATACGCATTTCGAAGTGGCTTTACGTGGCACAGCTATGGTGTACTCACTGTATTTCAGGTGCTATGTGGGGATCACGGGTTTGGATGAGGAAGGGCACGGGCGGTGGCCCCTGATGTACCAATCTGGGTTCATATATGTACCTGCGGGTCTTCGAAAACCCATTTGTGTCGGCTACCAGCAGATATGGCAAATGGGGCGTAAGGACATTTCAGCTGAGATTTATGACATTAGCCAATCAATGAGAGACGGAATACGAAATTGAGCAAAACATTTGGCTACGCAAGTGACGCTCTGAGATAAAAACATACTTGATCGATCATTTTAGAGTGCAATTCTGACAACGATAAAGAAAACAAAAACTATTGTCGAAAATATTATCGATGTTCTCAGCCGGAAGATAGACTCGTTCGTGCCAGACACCCCTACATCGGCCCAGTTTTGACGCCATTGGTCTGCCGGGCTCACCGTTGGTCCAGCAGTGTCCCAAAAAGTGACTGAATGCGAATCAGTCACCATGAAATGTTCGCAGACTGAAGCATTGTTTAGCCAGGCGCTTCTTGCCTCGTGCCGCTGACAGCTGAAGAGGTCGAGATTTCGTTACAATATCCGCCGTCGCTGACGCTGCCTGTTACGACAGGCAGCGTCGATGTACATTTTCCGGCGTTATGCTCGAGCATATACGCTGAACATGTACTGCGTCTCTGGCGTCATGCGCCAGTGTCTTGCGGCGTCGTGCCGTACATGTTCATGCCTGCCCATTATACCTGCCTGTATTTGCAGCTAGGTCCGTCACATCATTTACGATAAGAGTTTGTGTTCGTCTTAAAACAAGAAGATATCTTGCGCCAAAGTTTTTGTTCGTCTTAAAAACTGAAGAAAGCTTGTGCCAAGGATCATATTATACTAAATTTGTGCAGAATTATGGTGCACTACGAAGAAAAATGCGTCATCTTCTCCTGGTTCTACTATCATATTGGTTTGACCAGCCGTTTTCTCTTGCCCCTTTTCCCCCGCAACTTGTAAGTATATTTTTGGTATTAACATGGGATGATCCATTAAGGAAACAACACATGGAAGAGCAGAACGTATTAATCATGCATGCATTTTTTGGTATTGGCATTGGGCGACGCATTGAGGGAGTAATGTTTGGGAAAATAGGTATTCATCATAAATGTATTATTAAAGCGTATAGTATTCATACTGTCCGGTTCTTTACGTGTGCTGTCTTAGTCCTATTGCCATTTTGTTTATTCTGGTGTCCATGTAATATGTCCATGTAATATGTATAAGTAGTATGCATGAACTTACTGGCACTCAATATCCCTGCATCTGCTCATGTTGAAAACAAATCTTTGCCGACAATTGCAACGGAAAAAACGAACCTCCAGGAACAAGACAGCTACGTCAGAACTGAAGTCCTCCAGCGTACGCCTATTAATGAACTACTCTTACGATGCAAACCCCTCCCGCGATACATATTCCCTCCTTGTGTTTATGTAATATCAAACAATATTGTTTTGTAATACGTGTGTTTTTAAGCAGCTGAGTGACAACACTGTGACGCCAAGATGCAATCGCTAATTTTACACGTGTTTTTTCTGCATATCCCGTTGGCGCAAAATATGACCACATACGGGGCCTGAGACGCGCGCGCGCCACCAGTCCCCTGTGGCAATACCG